TTTCTTTTTTGTTTCGCTGAGGTGACCACGGAAAAGACCTCAAGACCAGCTAATTAACTAATCGTGTGCAAATTACATAGCACCCGTTTTCTTGGAATTTTTTCCCTCATATTTATACATATTTATTGATAAATTTTATAATCTTAGTACCATGATATTATGACTTGCATTTAATTATAATATAAATTATATGTAACTTTTAAAAATCCACGGTAACACGATGCGCTATGATTTTTCTTCCTCGTTTGGTATAATGATTCAAAATAATATGAAAGTTACTTTTTTTTATTGGAAATACTGCCAGGGCTTTGCCCAGCAGTGTAGTTTTATAAAAAAAGAAAATATTTACAAGGTTACAGAGTTACATAAAGGTCACACAAGAAGACTATAAGGTTTGTAACCAACTAAAAACAGTTTGTTTTAAAGGATCTTTCATTCTGCACATATGCATAAGAACTTCTTTGACAAAAAAAAGATCTCCATACTTGAAAGGAAGGTTGAACGTTCTGAAATATTAAGCCATTCCTTTACTTCCAGATGTGCCTGAAAGTTACATTGTACTTACAATATAATTACACTATAATTATACCGTGAAAATTTATCGATAAATATATACTCCTTCCGGGTTGATAATACTTGTCGTTTTGGACAAGGGCGCGGTCTTAAAAAAACAACTTTGACCATTATTTTCTATTATAATATGTAAAAAAGTGTTAACAAATATATGATCTTATTAAAGTACTTTTTAAGACTAATCTATACATGTAGTCACTATATTTGAAAGATAAATATTTTAAAAATGATTCATAATTAAAGATTCTAAAGTTTGACCTCACCCTTATCTAAAACGACAAGTATTATCAGCCCGGAGGGAGTAGCATAAATCTTTTTTTTTGCACAACAAAAATAATGTGTTTTTATAGTTAACCATAAAAATAGAATCTATTGTACTCCCTCCGTCCAAAAAAAAAGCAACTTCTAGAGTTTAAATTTTATAAAAAAAAAACTAATTTCTATCATCCTACCTACCCTCAGCACGTAAAACGAGAAGCTTTATCCCTTCAATACCCTTTACCTACCTATCACTCTTACTATTTTTTCAATGATTAATGGCATTTTAGTCATTCTCACTCCACTATTTTTATCTTGAAATGCTAGGAATGAGTTTTTTTTGGACGGAAGAAGTAGACTTAGAACATACTCCATAGAGTATATACAATTAATAGTGAGTTATAACACATTACCACACTTTTTCATCAGCTTTAGACGCGCTGCAACATATACAAATTAAATAGAGAAGTGGGAGAAAAAGAGAAAAGGCTAAAATCCAAATAACTTTTAGCTAGATTGTAGTATTGCATCTACTACTTCCAACCACATATATAAGGGATCTAGAATATGTATCTGGACAAATAGTACACTTGTCTGGTACATAGTATGGATTCCTTATATTTATTCATAATTAACTTTGAAGTAATTATTGGTACTTTCCCGTTTCAAAAGTTAAGCATTTTCAGATGTTTTTAGGGGAATTAAAGAAGTGTGTAAAAATTGAATGGTGCAATATTGTAAATAGTTGAGAAGAAAAAAATAGGTGAAGAATTAAATGGAAGATAGGTATGATTGGTTGAGAATTTGAGACAGAGGTAGGTAGAAACATCTAAAATTTTTAAACAAATTTGAATTCTAAAAATAGATACATTTTAAGATGGAGGGAACCTGTTCTTATTTGTAAATTTGGAGTAATTATATCTCTTCATATAACATAGTCAAAGAAAAAGAGTAGAGAGATATTTACATGACCATGCAATTGGGTTTTAGCTCCTCCTTCTATCTAAAAAATAAACCAAGTTTCATACTGAAGGTAGGCTAATCTAGATTTATGTATAAATGTTGATTTATTTTTAGACGGATCTATCTAGGAAAGAGTCAAACTCTATACACGATGAATCTAGACACATAATTTTTCGACAGAGAGAGTAGAATTAGAGAAACTTCCTTACCAAATAAAAAAGTCTGACCTGCGAAACCATGCACGAAGACTACAGTTAGCTGAAAAGTACAGCTGGGACACGTATCCTGAAAGTGGTTGGGTGCACCAAACATCACTAGCAGCAACATGGAAGCTAGCTATAGCAAGGAAGGTAGAGAGGAGTTAGGAGTAGAAGAGAGTTCTCAAAAGAAAAAAAAAAAGGAGTAGAAGAGAGAACGGTCGCAATCAGGCAAAGGGACATTGCAGGCTACCAAGCGGTAGCGATCACGCGGGTACTTCTAACCGGTGACCGGAGACCAACGCACGCCATTTCCACGCAAATGTGCGGACATGACGAAGTTCGCTCGGCCAGAATGATACTACACTACATGTCATTGTTCTGGATAAGGTATGCTTGAAAACCATTATCTAAAGTTATGGCGTATAAACCAAAGATATATGACCAAAGTAATAATAATAATAATAACTTTCAGATATACTAGTACCTTTTAGGCCTGTGTTTTCAACGGTCCAAAAGCCAAGTCTATTTTTTTTTTTAAAAAAAGGAAAATGCCCTAAAATTAATTCTAGAGATTCAAAATATTTGTGGCCTGGCTTATACTTAAGCTGAACCTCACACAAGCCCGAACATATTTTATATGTTTCACTTTATAAGTCATTTTCGATTTTGAATAATTTTGTATTAATCTATGTATTTTTTACAGGTGTCAGTGAATAAGTGAATACGAGTAATGGGGAGATCAAAACGTTTTATAATATGAAACGGAGGGAGTATATACGGTTCATATCTTTCTAAAACATTATATGTAACTATACTTAATACATCAAAATTATATATTCAGTTTTGTCTAAAAATATATATTGTTAAAGTTTTGTCGAGTTCTACATATGCTGAAATAGTATTCTTTTTGTCCCGAAATAACCCAACCTAGGATAGGACGTGACGAATCTAAGCAAACCTTTATCCAAATTCGTTTACTAGGATAAATCATGTTCTATAGGTTAAGTTATTTTTGAGACGGAGAGTATATATATATTAATAACTAGCTAGTAGATCTGTACCTTTTAGATCGGCTACAATGTAGTGTCTGTTTGTGATTAAAGTAAGTGCAATATAAATATGGTGACGTAGGTGAGCTATAGAAGCCATTATCTTAAATTCGTGTCTGAGTTAAAATAGAAAAGAAAATCGAGCTATATATTTATAGTCAGTTGTAGCACGCGAGCTAAAAAAATACGATAGAGCGGAGCGGGGCCAAGCAATAAAGGTATAGTTTGAATATATAATTAGCTATTGTACAAGTAGATTATTAGATCAGATATGGACGATACAATAATAGATAGAGTTAATAGTTGGCTGTACTGTTAGAGTGGCTAGTTTAAAAGATCACGAGACAGGATATGTCAATGATTGATCGCACGAGACTAGGGAGACTACACAAATGGCAAAACCCGAATGGGGTGCCTCCTTTTGGATGAGGGGCCACTCTGCACTGCCCTGTTCGTGCATTTTGGTTCGTTCTGAAATGATTACACTAAACCAACAAAGTGAAAAAAAAATCAGGGCTTTGGGCACGCTGGACCACTGGTAGCCACTAGTACTAAATTCCCATGCTTTAGCATAGGTGGTTCATGCTTCAGCATTGGATTATACTAGCCGGAAGCTGATTTAAAGTTTTAGGAATAACATTTATGGGTTTTCATCATCCCTTTATTTTATTTCTTTGCCTATATCTCTTGTTTCATGATTTTTTAAGATGACAAATAAATTAAAGAGCTTTTTAAAAACCCAAACCTTAAAATTTAAAATCACCTTGAATTATGATGTGCTGTTGGAACAAGCAAAGACTATCAATTATCCTGATGAGATGTTAATAAGGTATACTGAGATCTGAATGTCTTTCTATCACTTGTAAACTATTAATACTTCATCCGTTCTAAGTTGTAAGGTGTTTTTTTTTCTAAGTTGAAGCTCTTAAACTTGGATCAAGTTTACAGAAAAGATATTTATAAAACCTAGGCTGTGTTTAGTTGGATCCAAAGTTTGGATTTTAGTTGAAATTGGAGATGATGTGACTGAAAAGTTGTGTGTGTATGACAGATTGAAGTGATGGAAAAAGACTGAAGTTTGGATCCAAACTTTGAATCTAAACACAACCCTAACTCATTATGGTTCATGTTGCATAAAATCAGAGAGGTTTCGGCCTACGATATTATGGAGTCCTACAGTTTTATAAAATCATGCTGTTAATAAATTTTTCTTCAATTGTATGAGTTTTAAACTTATATCCAAAATGTTATAAGTCCTCTAATCCATCATACATAAGTTGTAGTAGCAACTAAGTTCATTAATTATTATTTTGCTACAATATTGAGTTAGGCTAAGTTCTATATCCCTTTTCCCAATTTTTACTCTCTCGTTTGTCGCACGCACGCTTTTTGAATGGTACTTTTTAAAATAAAGTCTATAGCAAAGTTGTTTTAAAAATCATAATAACCAATTTTTAAGGTATTTTAGCTAATACTTAATTGATCATGTATTAATAAACCGTTATGTTTGATACGTCGGGAGGATTTTTTTTTAACATGGAATGCCAAACATAGCCTTAGAGAGATCAACAGTACGTTTTTGTGAAATGTTCTGACCATAAAACCTATAGGCTGCCTGCGTCAAAATCTTTATCGTTATGCAACTTGATCCATATTAATTGTGGTTTTGTCAAATTTGCTCATAAAAAATAATCATGGTTTACACTACCAATAAATACATTATCAAGACATATTTCATGTTAGATTTTAAGGAAAATAATTTGATGATGTAGGTGCCACTGCATTCTTTTATAAATTTGGTCAAATTAGAGAGGTTGACTTAATACCAAACTATAACACCACAATACGAATGTGAGAAAGCAAAGTAATAGCTGATATGATATTCTAACACCACAATACGTATCTGAGAGAAAGCAAAGTAATAGCTGATATGACATTCTATTGAAGTAGAAGATAATGGCATGTCATAGATGGGAAAACGTTTTACCAAAGCTTCTTAATCAGCGTTTTGATGGCATCACATGCAACTTTCACAGCTGCAACTGTCATGTATGTCACTCTTAACAAGATCGGCCCAACAGAGTCATCCATGTCGAAGAACGACATATCAAATAAATATTAATGCAATTTACCAGGAGATAAAACTAAAGCTTCAACATGAGGCCTTCTGTCTATGTTTCATTTACTGAACTGTAACAACCAAAATTACCCAACAAGATGATACAACAACATTTTACACAGCTGCCTTAGTTGCCCACAATGCCTTCTGCTGCTGCTGGTCCTCTGTTCTGCCAATATTTGAGAGCATAGTAAACGGAAGAGACGACAAGGGCTCCCAGGACGATGTAGGTGATTATTGTAGTTGCGCCAATTTGAGTGGGGCTCTTCTTCTGCTTGCTTTGTGCCAGCAGTGCCTTTGGCTTGACCTTGGCCATGGTGCACTTCTGATAATGCCAATAAAAAAGACTATAATCAGAATAGAGAATTCTTACAAGATTACATAGAAAGAATACCATGATTTTCGCTGAACATCATAAACACAAAAGAAAGAATTTGATTCATTTGTAATCAACTGCATAAAGATTATATTAACAACTGATTTCCTAAGACACATCAGGTTATACAAATAAACAGCGGCGTAGTACCTTCCTGTGACAAGAATATACTGCTCACCTTTCTAACAGTTTGATGAAATGCCTAATTCATAAAGGATGTCACTAGATATTCAGATCGGTTGGTCAAAATTATTAGGAAAAGTATGTTGACATATAAGTATCTGTACCAGAATCGCACCCAGTGTCATACAACAGACAATAAGGCACACTAATCATCGTGATAAGCTATGGAGCTTGCAGTAGAGAACCTTGACGTTTCATTTTGTTATTGTCTAACATATCCATTTTAGAAAGGAACAAGGTAAACAAAGGACATTGCAAAGGAACAAGGTAAAAGGACAGGCTGACATTTAACCCAAGCAAAAGTGGACATGTAAACACAGAGTGTGGAGCACTGCAAAAGCCTAAAAGAGCTCTTTAGGTAAACATGATTCACTTGTATTACTTGCATAGCAGTCACTCTCGTAAAGATGGACCAAAATTGTAGTGGTTCATTTGTCCTTTACTTGAGCTTCGTTCTCTAAACTGACAACAGCACAGCAACACTAAGAAATCCAAACAAGCCACGACTCCTTTGACCAAATATTAAATACTACTACCGCCGTTTCATATTATAAGTCACTTTGACTTTTTCCTAAGTTAAACTTCTTTCGCTTTGACTAAATTTATAGAAAAATATAGCAATATTTTCAACATAAAACAAAGAAACTATCAAAATATATTCAATGTGGGATTGAATAAAACTAATTTGGTGCTATAAATGTTGCTACATTTTTCTATAAACTTTGTCAAATTTTCAAGAAGTTCGACTTTAAAAAAGTCAAAGCGGCTTATAATATGAAACGGAGGGGGTATCTCACAATTTCAAGGGAGATTCATGGGTTAAACACAAAGTTCATCTTGCCAATTACGATACTAAGCTTCTGACAGATTAAAACGAGGAAAGATAAATCTAAATGTTATGTGAAAAAAAAAACATCTAAATCATTAAGAATAACTTGGGGGAGGATGTAACAATGTGATTATGTGATAAACAGGTTTGCAGACAGCAAACGTTTTCGCTAGTAAAAGTACAACAGCAAGCTCTATCTTGCTCCAGTTCATGCTAGCAGCAACAAACATATGGACCATTTGCTCTTTAGGTGTAATCCACCGCACGAGTGTAATCTACACCAGCATGTCGCCTCAAATCACCAGACATTATTCCCCAATGCTGTTCATAGCGAAATTTGGAGGGCACAGTATATAATCAACCTGTTTGGCACATAAGCAAGTATTCCACTACCAAAATTCTAGCTCCAAATCTCAGCGAAGCCCCCCCAAACCCAAAACAATCCATGGGATCAAAGCAAGGCAACACGTAAATACGTAATACGCCCACGAGAACAGCGCTCCACGCCACAATCCGTAAGACAGAGACAGATCCTCTCACCACTCCCCCCCCCCCCATGATCCACCATCCCCCCTCGAGGCTCTAGGCGGGATCAGATCGGGTCCGCGCGAGGCGACGACGACCCGGGGAGCGAGCAAACAAACAGCAAAGGTGGGGAGATCTACCTATGCTTGGAGCGAACCCCCTCACATCACCACCACCACCACCAACAACAACAGGAGGAGGAGTTGGATCCAACCGGGGACAAGGGGGAGATGAGATCCCCCGATCCGTGAACAATCCAATCCAATCCAATTCCAAGATCCGTGACCACTTGCTCGGTAGCGAGAGGAGGAGGAGGGGGAGGGCGCACCTTAATCCGTAGCTCGCGCTTCACCGGAGTTGCTCGCCGGCGACTGGGGGAGGCGGAGGCGGAGGCGGGATCTCGAGCGCGGAGGAGGAGGAGGAGCTGGAGTTTGTCTGTCTAGGGGAGGATGACGAGGACGCAGGTGGAGAGCGTCGCTTTTGAAGGCGGAGAGGGAGAAGTAGAGAAGACGACGAAGAATCGTGGAAACTGGAGGAACAGCTTGGCGCGTGTCAGGGTCAGGGCAGTCCTTGGGCCTTGGACTTTTCCTGGGCCTTAGACTTTTCTTGGGCCTTGCCTCCTTTGACCAAATGATTTTGCAACCACTTTTCTCAAGTTCTAATACATTTCCAAAATCTCTAGAAAAAAAAAGGATTTGTTTAAAAAAAATGGTGATTTTTTTTTAAAAAAACTTGCGATTTTCTAACCGTCAGATGTTGAAGATTTGTGCTAGGGTGGGTGAATAAAAATTGACAGGATCGAGCGAGGGCAAGGATCAAAATATACACTATAAATGACATTGTAGTTACATTTAAACGTTTTCACCAACAAAATTTACGGAAGTTTTTTAATATAGACCTAAAAAAGTACTCCCAGAAATTTTTGTTTGGAGGATGTTCACATGAAACTTGTATATATATCTATTGTTCATCAATTACATGAATCCATATATATGAGCTATGCGTATAACTAGCTTAGTATATACTTAATTCAAAAAAAAACATATTCTTTCTGGTATATATCCAATTTATAATTAACCAAACCAAATGAATAACTGATTTTGTGTGTGTATGTGGTATTTGGGATTCTCTGACGTAAAGTCAGAGGAACGTAGTGACTGATATGTGGGCCCCACCGTTCGCGGGCCCACATATCAGGGGGAAGTTCAATCAGAGCATCTGCATCCGTGTATACGTCGTCATTTCCTGTTGAGGTCAGCGGTGAAGGTGACGCCGGTGGAGGGTAGCCAAGCGAGGCCGTCGATGAACCGCCGCACGGTGAAGCGCACAGCGACGGCGGCGTCCATGATCACGTGGTATCCGGGCCACCGCACCCGGCCGCCGATGTTGGCGCCAGGCCCATAGTTGCGGTACTCCCCGTAGAATAGCGTGGCGAGCTCGCCGCCGTCGCCGTCCCACTCCAGCCATCCGCGCGGCTGGACACCTGCGCCGAGGTAGGACTCCATGACGACCACCCGGGAGAAGGGCTTCCACGGGCGTCCGAGGTAGGTCGGGTACTTGGCCTCCACGATGCAAGCATGGAGGGCGAAGCCGGTGTTCTGGTTGGGGTCCCTCCGGCCCTGCGCCGTGACGCTGCCGGCGTTCTGGCCGGCGGCGGGCGGGAGGGTAGAGATGGTGGTGCGCTGGATGACGGCGATGCCGTTGCCGAAGATGAAGTCGACGGTGCCGGAGACGCGGCAGTCGCGGTAGAACTGGCGGAGGGAGTGCGCGTAGAGCGTGTCCTGGTGGCCCTCGACGGCGATGCGGAAGAAGGCGGAGCGATCGGAGTCGACGCGCAGCGCCACCGCCTGGTGCGCCGCCGGCCCCGCCGTGTTCCGAATCGTCATGTCCCGTGCGATGAACCCCGCCCCCGACACCGCTGCACGCACGCACACACAAACCAAATTCAGTTACTCCCTCCGTTTTATATTATAAAACATTTGAGTTAGTCAAAATTTAGGTTCGATCAAATTTATAAGAAAAAACAATAACATATATAATACCAAATTAGTTTAATTAAATTTAACATTGGATATATTCTGATAATATGTTTATTTTGTATTAAAAGTGTTATTATATTTTTATGCAAACTTGATCAAATCTTAAAAAAAAGTTTGACTAAGAAAAGGTCAAATAACTTAAACGGATGAAGTACAAATTTAACTCCACTTAAAATCTCATTCAAATTTATGTTTTGATTTCATTGTGCCGCGGTTTAAATTTAAGTACAACATCAACTCTAAGGCATTGCTCGGTTAATCCCTAAGTAGCATGAATTAGAGGGGGTTTGAAAAGGGAATAATTAATTCTACTACATCGTAATAGTCAATAGTCCGGAATAAACCGAACAAACAAACCCTAGATATGTGGAGGATGGAAAACTTTTTGCAAGAGGACATCTTAAAGCATCACCAACAGATTATCTATAATTTTCTCCTAAAAATTTGTTTTTGGGTTTTCTAAACTGAAAATAGGAAGTGAAAAAACTCCTTCCTCCAACAGATAGCCTAAATTTAATCCCCAAAACTTAAAAGTGGACCCTTTTGTTAAACTACCAAGAGAAAATTCTGTTTTTTTTCTTTCACGCGTAGAAAGATCGCTATTTTCCACACGCGGGAACAAGGGAGAGAGGCGGGATTGCGTGATTGGGTGCGACTTTCGCGTCCGCATATAAACGGAGCGAGGAATCGGGGGAAGGGAACTCCAAAACTCAGGTAGGAGAGTAGGGGATCTGTTGGAGCTGATTTTTGGATTAAAATCCCTCAAAATTAGTTTTGGGGAATTATATAGATAGACGGTTGGTGATGCTCTAAGGATATTCTTTTCTTAGCGCGCATGCATATGCACGAGCCGGTTTATCTGCCAGCCTAGATGAGGGCTTGATGCAAGCAAAGCACACGTGAATCTTGCTGTCATAATGGTTCGTGTGCGGCTAATTTACTGGGTGCCGCCGCGCACTTTTGCATGCGGTCACGATTGTGGTCGGTCGGTTCGATCTATAGGAGTAGATAATAGGCTGGAAAGGTATAAGCTGCTATACATGCACGTATGATCGCTTTTATGATTGTTCTAGAGTATAAAGGATGTTCCTTATCACTAATTTTTTTAGAGAACTCCGTATTTTCTTGCTAAAAGTGAAGGGTTTAGTAAAACCTTGAGACCACAAATATCATGGTTCTATACAATACTCTCGAATCAATGACTTTTGGTTGATATACATTCATAGGTATTGGGCTATATGTTTTGCAAACATGTTTAAATAACAAAAATATTTTCAAAACTATATTTTTATTTTTTTTATTTTTTAGAGAATGATATTTTTTTACCCAGCCTCTATATCCAACTGGATATATGTAGCCTTTCAAAACTATATATTTGGCGATCATGTTGGTCTAATCCTATATACTCATATAGTTCATCCCACTAAGTATAGTTAATGATATTTTTCTCTTCTCTCATTAAACCACATCACTTAAATTATTTCTAGCATTTGGATGATAGATCTATAGTCTAAATTGTCTCTTTTTTCTTCTCTAAAAAAAATCTACAATCTCAATTATTTTAAGCTCAATTATATCAAATTGTTTTAGTTTTTAATTAAATTATATTTTATTTGTATATAGTATATGCATCTTAATTTTTTGCAGCAACGCAGCGGGGTATTCGTATATGAATACTAACGAAGTAACGAGTGTGTAACCAAAATGAGTAGCAAAAGTAGGAGTAATTAGCAAAAAGACAAATTAAATCACTGCGGTGCACTAGAATTTACCAAACGTGGCGCTCCGGAAGGTGGTCCAGCCGGCGGCCATGCTCCGGCTGCCGGTGATGACCGTCTCCCCCATCCCCTCGCCGACGATGACGATGTTCGTCTTCTTCTTCCTCACCTCCACGTTCTCCTCGTACACCCCTCGCTTCACGTAGATCACGTACCTCCTCCTGCTGTGGCTCGGCGCCCGCGCCACCGCCTCGCTCACCGTCCGCCACCGCCCGCTCCCGTCCTGCGCCACCACCACGTCCACGCGCATCGCCTTCCTTCCCGACGACGACGACCTCCCTCGTCCGCGCGTCGCCGTGACCTCCTCCTCGACATCGTTGACGACGTCCGTCACCCATGGCGGTAGATCCGACGACGGGCCGGTGTCATCCCCTCCGGCGGCGGCGCCGTCGGCTGTGCCGTTCTTGTTGTTGTTGTTGCCGGGGTGGTGGTGGTGTTGGTGTTGGTGCTGCGGCGTGATGTCGCGGAGCTTCTTGTGCATGGCGAGGAGGTTGCTGACGAGCTGAGTGAGCTGCGTCACGGCCGACTCGACGCGGCGGAGGAGGCGGCTGTCGGTGCCGTGGAAGCCGTCGAGGCAGGTGCCCTGGTTGCCCATCGCCGCGCTGAGCCAGGCGTGGATGTCGTCCTCGGCGCGCGCGCCGCGGCGGCGGCGGCGCCTCGTCTCCGGCTCCGTCTCATCCTCCTCCTCCGCCGCGGCGACGCCGCCGTCGGGGTCGGCCATGGCGTCGAGCGCCCACCCGAGCTCGTCGACGGAGTACCCCACCAGCTCGACGCAGTCGCGCACGGCCATCTCCTCCCGCGCGTGGTTGGACAGCGACGCGAGCCCCGCCACGGCCGCCACGGCGCCCACCGCCTCGCCGAGCGTGTCCCGGACCGCCGCGCGGAGCACCGGCACGGGGCCACTCCCCGCGCCGCCGCGCGCCGTGTCGAGCCGCGACACGCAGCCGCCCTCGCCCCCACCTCCACCTCCGCCTCCACCGAACGCCGTCACGTTGAAGCACGCCTGCTGCAGCAGCGCGGCCTCGAACGCCTCGGCCTCCTCCTGGCTCTCGAACGAACACCCGGAGAACACCGCGGCGGCCGCGCCGCCATTGCCGCCGCACGCAAGCACAAACAAGAGCAACAGAAGCAGCGCGCCGGTGGACGCCATTGTCGCGGTCGCAAGCAGCAGTTTGCTGGCGAGCGAGGAGTGTGTCTCGCCATGGCCGCGAGGTGTGCCAGTATATAGAGTGGCAAGCGTGCGTGCTCTGGTCTTGGTGCAAATGGAGGCAAGGTATAGTTTGCTGCAGAAGAAAGGTCGTGTGCAGCATCGAAGCCTTTATCAACAACTCCTTTTCGCCTTCGAGGAAAGGGACACGGATTTGAGCCCAATGATTGGCTTAATTTAACTAACTTCGTGTGATTGTGCAGCACGGCTAGCGTTATTGTCAAAGGCAAAGTCTAGTGATTGCGGTAACCTAAGTAGCATCCTAAGATATTGAATTCAAATCTCTATATAAGCGAATTTTAGATTGTGTTATTTAAGTGGCTATGGTTCTAATTTAAAAAGAGCGAATTTTGGATTGTGTTGTTTTAGGAGCTAAGTTTTCAATTTTAAAATACTGTACATATCTAATTAGATGTAGAGGACGGGTAAAAAATACTCCTGTAAATAAAAGCGTGACTGTCACCGGCTTCGCTGCTGAAGAAGAAGAAGAAGAAGAAGAAGAAAACTAAATATGGATAGCACAAAACTCGGCTGAGGTCGTCAGAGGTCAAACGAAACGAACGATTTTGGACAAATATTTGATATTTGACCATGACATTCTAGAGTACAAGATAACAATGCGACCAGTATCGATCACTAACTATTGCTGTTGTGTACTGACAGTTTGTTGTTAGGACATGTTGGTAGCTAGTGTCGGTCGATGCTCGATCGGGCCTCACGCAAGCAAGAATTTGCCGGAAGAATCGACGAGTTGGTGTGCCGGATTGTGCCATGCTTCCGTCGCGGTTTACATGGGTGGACGAGGGCATATGAGCTAGGCTAGCTGGACCGACCAAAAAAACCATAGGCGTAGGCCACATCCCACATACTCCTACTCCGTAGAGACGAGCAGCCACTTCAGTGGGCGGTGGCAGCAGCACGGACACTCAAGGTTGGTTATTCGCTTCGTTTTTGCATTGCTTGCCGCTGCAGGCTCCTCCTGGATTCGCATCATCACACACACTGCCTGCCCCCCCAGTGAGTCCATCGATTCCGAGTGGTTATGCAAATGGGTTTATGCGGTTACATAGATTGGCTTGATCGAATTAGTGCCATTCCTCCAGGATGAATGAGAGAGAGAGAGAGAGAGAGAGAGAGAGAGAGAGAGAGAGAGAGAGAGAGCCCATGGACCAAGCTGGCGAAGAGCGTGGGCGACAGCCCATTGGACACAATTTCTCAGGTCACGAGCCCAAGCACGGACGGGCAAAATTAATTCGAAAAGAGACTCCGTTTGAAACACACCAATGTGACCTTCGCAGTTCCGAACAGCCAAGGGTGCAAAGTGCAATCCAATTAGGTTCGCGTATTCATGATACTCGAACCAATGGATATGGGAGTGGGTACCTATTTTTATCATTGGGCATATCCCACCCGATACCTGCGAATTTATTAGAAGCATACGGGTTTTATACTTCACTCGCGGGTAACCCATGCTTGACAGCTTGAGCCAAAAATTAATTTTTTTTAGTCCATGTATATCCTTGAGACCTTCAATAGTTTAACCTTTCTCTTATGACCCAATAGCTCATTTGACCTATTTGTATACAGCATCAATATATATTCACTCAATAAAACCCTAGCCTGAAAATCCCCAAGCCCCTAACCTTATCCTCCTCCCCACTGCCACCTCTCACTCTCTCAGTCTTCTACTCTTCTCCAGTGTCTTCACACGGCGACGGTGGAGCACGGGAAGGAAGCGGGAGGCTATTGGCAGCGTGACGCAGCGGCGCACAAGCGCAGGCGTCGATGTGGTGGCGCACGGGCGAAGGCGATGGCTGGCGGCACTGCTGTGGATGGCGACGCGGCGGCGCCAGGGCACAGGTGGCGGCGCATGGGAGCAGGCGGCGGCTGGCGACACGGCAATGCACGGGCATGGGGTTAAGATATTTACTGTGATACCCAATGGGTATCCGTTGGGCATGCCCGTGCCCAACGGGCATGGGGTTTTGCCCAAGAGACTTCGCAGGCGTGGGTCGGACACGGGCACGTGAGTCTCAAGCCAAGTATGGATTTGCTATGCTCGTGCCTGACCTAACCTATTGCCATCCCTAAACCCAATAACTCCTGAGAATCCCCCTCTCCTACAAATTCAATCTCCTCTCGTTCAAATCTCTCCTTCAAATTCGACTTGTCTACAAGTTTACGGCAAGTGAACTTTTGACATTACAAACCCTCTATCTGTCATAAAGCTTTAGAAATGTGGACTTCATTTCTCAGCTTGCCAACAGAGCGAGCATCCCAAAAGACAGCTCAAGCAAATCGAAATGTTTGGCTTGTGAAGGATAGAACTATCACTCAACTGTCCAACAACAATCCGATGGCCTGGAAAATGTAGCTTGCCCACAAAGCTGATATAGCTAATAACTTGAGGAAGCAGCAGCCACCAGGATCCCATGGCATTATCGATGCAATCTTAGCCATTAATCGTGATGAAATGAGATATGCTTCAGCAATGGTTTAAGAGAAAATTCAACTTCGTCATATATTATACAACGGAGGTTACAGTTGTACATAAGATGAGATAAGCTGTGATGACAAGTTGGATATTCCTGAATTCTCTGTCAGATAAGGAAATCCAAGTTCAGATTATTTTGAATTGACTAAGATAATCAGAGGGATTCCGAGGTGTGAAATGGGGGAGAGGGGATGCGTTGATTTAGGTTTTGAATAAGATATCCACTACATCAGCTTCTGTTTGTTCTAACTTCTAACTGCATAAATTCCACGGCAACTTGATGACGACTGACTAGTTAGAGCATAGAAGTCCTCGCTCGACTAGAGTTGCAGCTCTCGGACAAGTAAGGCCAGTTCCAAATTTTTTTTCCAAAAATATCACATCAATATGTAGACACATGTATGGAGCATTAAATATAGATTAAAAAAACTAATTACACAGTTAGGGGGGAAATCACGAGACGAATCTTTTGAGCCTAATTAATCCATGATTAGCTATAAGTGCTAGTACAATAATAACCCACATGTACTAATGCCGGATTAATTAGGCTCAAAAGATTTGTCTCGCGGTTTACAGGGGAGTTCTGAAATTAGTTTTTTCATTTATGTCTGAAAACTCCTTCCGATATCTGGACAAACATCCGATGTGACACCCAGAAATTTTCTTTTAGTGAACTAAACAGGCCCTAAACGAGCCACTCCTTGTGCTTCCCATCTGCTTCTGAGAAATTACCTCTCAATGATTGTTAGAGATAAGCAAAGTAATTAAGGGGGTGTTTTAATCAGGGGTGTAAAGTTTTGGCGTGTCACATCAGGTATTATATATGGTGTCGTATGGGGTGTTCAGGCACTAATAGAAAAACTAATTATAGAATCCGTCAGCAAACAGCGAGACGAATTTATTAAGCCTAATTACTCCGTCATTAGTAAATATTTACTGTAGCACAACATTGTCAAATCATGGAGCAATTAGGCTTAAAAGATTCATCTCGCATATTAGTCGCAATCTGTGCAATTTGTTATTTTTTTAGCTTATATTTAATATTTCATATATGTGTTCAAACGTTTAATGTGATAGGGTATAAATTTTTGTGTGGGAACTAAACATAGCCTAACTAAGAAAATTTCCAGTATAAATGTGTGTTTTTGTGTGCGTATGCATAGCATGTTTGACACAACAAGAACACAGGCTTTGTGATTCTTGCGAAGCATTGGCGTCATCAAATTCCTGCTAGAATTTTACTGTTCTTTCTCTGATCTAAGTTTTGCACTTTGACATAGGCTTAAGAGTGGTTAGGTAAGATGGACACCGGCGCAGTTGAGGACGGCCGCGCCGGCGGCGAGCTGTGTGACAACAGCCGGCAAAACGGTGTCGACGACGCTGAGCTGGGTGAGACCAGCCGGCAGAAGAACGGTGTCGACGACGCTGAGCTGGGTGACAACCGGCGGCGGGAGAACGGCGGCGGGCGCCGCAGTCACGCGCCGGGGTTCGAGGCGAACAAGAACGACACGCTGCTGGTGGTGGCGACGCTGATCACGGCGCTGACGTACCAGCTGGGGACGAACGTCCCGGGCGGGTACTGGCAGGACGACGCCGCCGACGGGAGCCACGCCGCCGGCGACCCGATCATGCGGGACAAGAACCGGCGGCGGTACTGGCTGTTCATGGCAGCGAGCTGGGCCGGGTTCGGGAGCTCGATGCTGCTCACGCTGGGGCTGCTCACCGGCGTGCCGTCGAGGTCGCGCGCCGTGCAGTGGCCGTTCCTGGTGTCCTACTCCAGCCTCGTGCTCACGTTCATCACGTCGCAGTCGCGGACGCCGCTCGCCATGGACGTGGTGATCTGGGGCGCCGTCATGGCCGTGCTCACCGTCGGCATCAAGTACCGCCGCCTCGACAGGCTCCGCTTCTGGTTCTGCCCACCTGCTCCCAGTTCCCATGACCATGACATGAATGGCCGCCAGCAGGTTGTAGCTGCCAAATGAGTGTCAGGAGTCAGGACGCCGCTTCACCGTCGGGGGTGGCTGATGCGCGCCCCTCCAGTCCAACAGTCCAATATACGTATACGGAGGGGCGAAGCCAGGATAAATGGTCACCGGGGTCAGTATTAACCAGGGTTTATGTTTTCGACCAAAACCCACCAAAAATCATGTAATTTTGATGTTTCGACGTGGGACGAAAAGTATATTCTGAGCGGAGTTTTGAATGTTTTTTGAGAATTCACGACAAAACTATATCAAAACTTATTAAAATTTGGTGAAAAATGTCATATCGCTACATTGGAATCCAACACTAAATCGGAAATGTCATCTAGTTTGTAATTAATGATCTAAGACTATATATAATACAAAACAAAATTAATGAAATACATTATGATAAAATGAAATGTCTACAAATTTGTTAAAAACTACTCCCTCCATACTCATAAAGGAAGTCGTTTAGTCAAACCTTAGGAATATAAATCATGAATAACTCTCTTGAGTTTGAAAATGTAAAAAATATATGTATAGATTTGTCTTGAAAAATACTTTCATAAAAGTATACATATATCACTTTTTAATAAATATTTTTGTAGAAACAAGAAGTTAAAGTTGTGTTTTGGAGACCGTGTCGCTGTCCTAAACGACTTCCTTTACCAGTATGGAGGGAGTATACATTATTAATTTGTTAAAGACACCAAATGCACCAAAGATTATCAAATCCACTAATTTCTTGCCTTTCGTTCTGCTAGAAATAAGATGATATAATTAAGATGTTAAGATGTGCAGCGCCGGAGCAGGACAAATTAAAGTGATCGAAGGAATACGATGACGCAACAAGAGAATTTGTGGATTTTTTTTACCCAAATCTCTATCGTATATGTATGTTGGGCTCACGTATAAATCATAAGTGCTAGCAAATTTTCTATTTGTTGTTTGTTAGTATCGTTCCCAGTCGCTAGTTTGGCTTTGACGGAACAATCAACAAAATCACCGGGGTCTAGTTTTTCTGTTCGCTGGGGTCATAGATGGTAAAATAAAGAGAGGTACGAGAGGTTCGTGAAACATCGTCGGGGTCAACTGACCCCTATGAATGGCTGTAGCTTCGCCCCTGCGTATACGTATGTGTATAACAGTATATATATATATATATGTCAGGGTTATAGATACCACATATACCTAATAGTAGTTGACTAAATATCGGCAGGATACACTACATACCATGTCTTATACGGAAACTGACCTCGAGGGAGTTCTGGATAAGGAAAGATAACCAGAGTTCTACATGGAAACGACAAGTACTACTCAGATTGTATCCATATTGGTTTCCCTAGTTCTACTTGGACAAGGGGACACCTATAGGTATAAATACAAGCCCTCCTAGGAGGACAGGGGGAGAGACAACCACCATGAAAGTGAAAGACACCCATGACAATCAACACACGCCTACCAGAAGCCACAACATACAAGCCTACATACGCCAAGACACGCCGCCGGATATCGACTTGAAGGATAGGCATGGCTATTCCCCTACGGTGTCTCCGGATACCGTCAGGAGATACGAAAGCGCTATCTCTGATCTCGCCGGGCACAGATTCGAGGAGGAAGACTACCCTGTTGTCGACTACGAGTCAGACCTTCAGACCGACATGTCCACAACAGTTAGATAGGCTACCCACATATTGTACTGGTGTGATTATGGTGAATAAAAGCAATACCGGCTTCGGCCAACAGGATGTAGGGTTATTACCTGACAATTCAGGGGCCCGAACCTGTATAAAAATCTTTGTCTCCATCTCTTTTACCTCAGTCTCGTGTATATCCTAGTACCGACGATCCCCATACTGTCCAAATACCATAGTCGAGACATCAAACGTCGACAGTGGCGCGCCAGGTAGGGGGATTTTGGTGCTCTAGGATTTCGACGAGATAGGTTTAAGAGATGGACTCTCCGACAACAAGCTACTCGACGACTTCGGCTGTGAGGAGATCTAACCCGACTAAAATACATCTTCCGACCAGATCGGAACCATCATCGTCATCGACAACTTGGTCTATCGAGATTATCCAACCCTCAAGCTCCGCGGCGTACCAAAAGATGTCAGATCATATGATGTCGAACGAGTACGCAATAAGGTAATTGGTAGATTGATTTTTCAAATTGATCTACTAATGCCGTAGATATATCCGGCATATATCTACAAAGGTACGCAATATTTTATATGCAATTTATCGTACCTATTCAGATCATACAGCATTGTCAGATCTATAATTTATTATGTTTACCTAGAGCATGCTTCTTATACAATATCCGTTGTGCGAGTACTTCCGATGATAGGCCAACTATGGTCTAACGCTAGGGGCTCACTCCGTTCTCTTCTGTATAAATCATGCTTGTTTATGGTTTACATAATGCCTGATATTTAATCTGCTCGTTATATCATGATAATACTAGAAGATCCACACAGTTTTTGAGTACATACTCGATATTATCTGCTATATGTCTTGCCTTCTAGAAAATAATTTCAGGAACAATTGAGCACTCGAGTAGGTTATGGTCGAGTACACTCCATTATCGAGAACATTCTCGACAAATGCGGAGATATCGCACCCAACCTACCAACAAAGACCGATGACCTATCTCATAGCATCGGCCATGGCTGGACTACTCGAGAAAAGGTTGTTAACGGATAATTCCTCGCGAACGTCGTCGGCTTGATCACCCGACATGATTGCGAACGGACATCCAGATATGCTATAAGTTGGGTACGTAAGTCATGCTGGCCACATGAGATACACTTGCAATAAACCAACTCTAGCACTTCCATTGGTGTTCAAGAGATAATTCTGCTCGCTCACTGGTTCTCGCACCAGTACGTAGCAATCTCTCACACCGCAACTTCCATTGGTGTTCGAGAGATAATTCTGCTCTAGCAATCTCTCGCACCTTAACTTCAGATGGTTGAGGTACGACTACGGCAGCGTAGCGTTCCTCGCACCATGACTTCAGATGGTTGAGGAACAGCTACGACTGGTCTTCGACCGGCAGCGTAGCGGTCCTCGTACCACGACTCCAAATGATCGATGGACACCTACTCACCGGTTCTCAACCAGTTGATCGTAGTGATCTCTCGTACATTTGCTTCAAGTGGTCGAGTTACGACTACTGCCTGGTCCTCGACCAGCGATGTAACGTTTCTCCCACTACTTTCACTTCTAGTGGTCGAGTTACGACTACTGCCTAGTTCTCGACCAGCGATATAACGTTTCTCCCACTACTTTCACTTCTAGTGGTCGAGTTACAACTACTGCCTGGTCCTCGACCAGCGATGTAGCGTCTCTCCAACTACTTCCACTTTCAGTGGTCGAGTTACGACTACTGCCTGGTCCTCGACCAGCGATGTAGTGTTTCTCCCACTATCTCCACTTCAAGTGGTCGAGTTACGACTACTGCCTGGTTCTCGACTAGTGATGTAGCGTTTCTCCCACTACTTCCACTTGAAGTGGTCGAGTTACGACTACTGCCTGGTTCTCGACTAGCGATGTAGCGTTTCTCCCACTACTTCCACTTGAAGTGGTCGAGTTACGACTACTGCCTGGTTCTCGACTAGCGATGTAGCGTTTCTTCCACTACTTCCACTTGAAGTGGTCGAGTTACGACTACTGCCTGGTTCTCGACCAGTGATGTAGCGTTTCTCCCACTATTTCCACTTCTAGTGGTCGAGTTACGACTACTGCCTGGTCCTCGACCAACGATGTAGCGTTTCTCCTACTACCTCTACTTCAACAAAGTTGGTAGCAGGTACACAATATCACCAAGTGTTTTACCCAGAGATCCCTTACCCAGATGACACCTGGCGTTGAAACCTATCCTACTGCCCCTTTACGCTGTCTTGACAAGGCCTCCGAGGAACCTAAGGGATCTTCGGCTGGGGACGCCCAGAGCCGATAAGGCCTTGTCGGATCCTTCAGAGACGAAAGACCATGTAAGATCTGGTCGTGTAAGAGTTCTCGCCGTGCGTATTAACCAAGCCGTGTAATCGGAAATTGAGTTTTCCAACTTCATGGCTGGGGGCTAGGATCAGTGCTTGTTCAACCGAGGCAGGTCAAAGGTCCAAGAGCCTTGACATCCGAGAATGATTCTCCGACGACAAGGCTGGGGGCTAGGGAGAGTATATGACTCTACAAACTGACTGATCGGAGTCGGTAAGAGAGAAGACGCTCATATACAAAACACTGGTCTGTACATTCAATTCACTAGTCTGTCATATTATAACATGTCACCCTTTGAGCATTCGCTCGGGGGCTATTTCTATCTAATATTCTTTTCTGAGTATTGATTTCAGGAAAATTCTATTCGACATTACCGAAGACTCCATGTCTCTATGGTTCTACACCAAGATCGACTAAGGCGAGTACGACAAATGTCGACAAGGCTCCGTCGTAGACTCTACGCCTTCTCGATCGCTTGAGAATGGTTGCTGGATCTCGACAAGGAATACGGAATGAAGAGATGGTGTACCCGCCGAGATAAAATTTCTTGACTTCAATCCAAATTCTCGATTACAGCAAGACATGAGACTTAGTCGTACGCTCTATACTTTCTCAGTCGACATCAGAGATTAACTTAGACAAACCCTTTCGGTGCCCGCACGAGGCTGACAAAGGAAGTTCAACGTTATCTCTAAACTCACCGAGAACGGTCACATGAGCTCGATAACAGTTACTCCAATGTCTGCGCGCGGTTGAGAATATGAATTCGTTCATTTGCATCGAAGTCGGGGGCTACTGTTAGGGTTATGGATACCACATACATAATAGTAGTTGACTAAATCTCGGCAGGATCCACCACATACCATGTCTTATACGGAAACTGACCTCGAGGGAGTTCCAGATAAGGAAAGACAACCAGAGTTCTACATGGAAACGACAAGGACTACTCGAATTGTATCCATATTGGTTTCCCTAGTTCTACTTGGACAAGGGGACACCTATGGGTATAAATACAAGCCCTCCTAGGAGGACAGAGGGAGAGACAACCACCATGAAAGGACCATGGAAGACACCCATGACAATCAACACACGCCCACTAGAAGCCACAACATACAAGCCTACATACGCCAAGACACGCCGCCGGATATCGACTTCAAGGATAGGCATGGCTATTCCCCTACAGTGTCTCCGGATACCGTCAGGAGATACGAAAGCGCTATCTCTGATCTCGCTGGGCACGGATTCGAGGAGGAAGACTACCCTGTTGTCGACTACGAGTCAGACCTTCAGACCGACATGTCGACAACAGTTAGATAGGCTACCTACATATTGTACTGGTGTGATTATAGTGAATAAGAGCAATACCGGCTTCGGCCAACAGGATGTAGGGTTATTACCTGACAACTCAGGGGCCCGAACCTGTATAAAAATCCCTGTCTCCATCTCTTTTACCTCAGTCTCGTGTATATCCTAGCACCAACGATCCCCATACTGTCCAAATACCGTAGTCGAGACATCCAACGTCGACAATATATGTATATACTAAAAAAATGTCCGTGCATTGCAACGGAAAAAATAAAAGTACACCAAATATTAAATGACATTTTTTTTCATACTTAGTGTAACATATGTTTTCTTTCCATGTAGAAGCACTATATATATGTGTGTTTTTTCCCATACATTTATAAATTATTTTATTACAGTAATAAAGAAAAATTTATTCACATTTGTGGCTTAGAAATCAACAGATTAATTGAAAGAAAAATATACACCGTTGATCATAGTGGATCTAGAATAAGTTTTGGTCCATGTTTAAATATAATGATGTAGATTTATCAAATATAAGCTCTATCTTTGTAATTAGAATTAGATTTAATCCAAATCATAATCCCATATCAACCAGCAAACCGAACTGTTTTCTTCCTGCCAACACACATGGGATACAACTGGGTTTTAGAAACATGAAAATGAAAGATCACTTCAGCAATTATTTAATTGGAAAAAGGAATCAAAATCCTCTCTTTTAGGTTTGGCTGAATATGGAAAAGTGCAGATTTCCTCCCTTATATCTCTTCTATGTTTCTCTGTTGTTTCATTTCTATTAGTTTGCGTCCTCCTTCAATCGGGCCTACGAAAAGAAGTCCCAGCAGAAGTCTAAATTATGTCCCTATCACTACAGTAGCTTCTTCAAGCTCCAGTCGAGCCAGAGCCAGCCAACACGTGACGCCACCCCGATCCCGCGTCCAATTCAACCAAACTCGTGGAGATAATCTCAAATTAGTTGAGAACTTTTGATCTATATCTTCTACTCTATCTTCCCCTCAAGAAATTTAAGAAAATCCTGTGGAAATCGCTCCCGTGTCGAGCTCGAACTTGAGTTTATCTCTCCGGAGAACCCAATTTTTATCTCTCTGCTGAACTCGAGTCCGATTCAACCAAATTAGCGCATTGACAGACCAAAACACGGAAAAAAAAGAGGTGATGAACGAAAAGTTACGAATTTCTTAAGAGCAAGGTTAATGGTATAGCCAACTACTAACTCCAATTCATCTATAGCCAATCTAATAGCCAATTCATTCAATAGTTGCTTATTATACTATTAGTATATAGTCCCACTGTCATACACACATTGCGTCTTGGAGTCCGTGCTGCAGCTGGCTACAGATCTGCAGTCCGCTACTCTTCTCTCTTATTTTTTATCTCATTAAAATATGTTTGTAGCTGGCTAATAGTCCCAAAATTTTTTGAAGTATACGGACACACATTTAAAGTATTGAACGTAGACTAATAACAAACAAATTACAGATTCCGCCTGTAAGCTGCGAGACGAATTTATTAAGCCTAATTAATCCGTCATTAGGAAATGTTTACTGTAGCATCACATTGTCAAATCATGGCGTAACTAAGCTCAAAAGATTCGTCCTGCAATTTACATGCAAACTGTGCAATTGATTTTTTTTCGTCCACATTTAATGCTTCATGCATGTGTCCAAATATTTAATGCGACGGAATTTTTGGAAGTTTGAAGGGAACTAAGGGTGTGTTTAGTTCACGCTAAAATTGAAAATTTGATTGAAATTGGAACGATGTGACGAAAAAGTTGAAAGTTTGTGTGTATGAAAGTTTTGATGTGATGGAAAAGTTGGAAGTATGAAAAAAAAGTTGAGAACTAAACCAGGCCTAAGCACGGCCTATCTGGTCTAAGCTTTCACACCTTCTAAGCCTTATATTCCTTTCATCTTCCATCTAAGAAAAATTTTCACTATTGTACTAGAAAACCGTTGCTCCTTGTATTGAGATTGTTGCTACATTGAAACTGTTGCTGATTGAGCTAATTGAGGTGGTTTGCTAATGAACTGGTGTCAGAACTACCTATTTTGCACCAAATCTACCATAAGTAGCCAAGAGTCTATGGAATCCAAGTGTACGCAAGAGAAGATTGATTGTTGTATATTTTGGAGAGACTAAAAGAAATGGAAGCAAAATAGGGACAAATTCTTTGAGGAGATCAGTGCCTCCATTAAGGCAACTACTGTTGTACGTCCTCATGGTTTCAATCATCTTCACCGCCTATGGCACTGTCTCCTTTAGCACTTACAAAATTGTTGATGATGTACCCAAACAACAGCATCACTTGGGTAACGGCAAAACACGGACACAATTTATTAGGTCACAAGCCAAAACACGGATGGCCCAAATTAATTTGAAGGAAGACTCCATTTGAAAGACACCAATTAGACATGAATTTTTTTAGAGGGTACGGGATACCGTTAGAATGGTACACTTTAATAAATCCTTTTCTTTTCTCTACCTACCTGAGCAACCACGCATAAAACAAATAAAGCAGCGGTGCTCATCTTGCTGCCTCGCTCAGCCACATCAATTGCAAGGAAGGAGGCAGGCATTGAGAAGAGGAAGGATGAAGAAGAGCCAATGGGAGGTCCATCGTCAGGCGACCAAAAAGCAATGACATGTGTCCCCTCTCTCCTTGACTTGATACCAGGTACCTAGGGTACCAGACATGATACATATAGGTAGGTACTAGGTATCGGATACCTTGATACTAGACTTTGGTAACTTTGGTATCGAGTGGGTACCAGACCATGGTACCCAAATACCAAGCCTGATACTTGTAGGTATCACTTATGATATCATTAGGTATCATGCCTGATACCTGAGTATCATGGTACCAGAGTACCAAACCATTGTACCTAAAACCAAGCCTGATACTTGTAGGTATCACCTATAATATTGTTAGGTATCATGCCTGATACCTAAGTATTATGATACCAGGTTACCAGACCATGGTATCCAAATATCAAGCCTGATATTTGTAGGTATCACCTATGATATCGTTAGGTATCATGCCTGATACCTAAGTATCATGATATCACCGACGTGATACACTAGAGTACCATGATACTACTGGAGTATCACTGGGATACTCAGAAGGATATCCATGTATGAAGAGAAAACTCAAGATAAAATCAACGTAAATAATTTCAATGCTAGAAAATCATATGTTTATCAAGAGAGGGCTCAATAAAAACCAATAAGGGAAATCGATTCCAGAAAAAAGTCGTCATAGCTGTAGAAACACCCATAGAACATGTAGAAAAACCTAAATCAAACCCCAAAGCAAGCCAAGGCAGGAGCTTGAGGGTCATGAACCCAGATCTTGGTCTACATATCTACACCACAAAAGGGCATTGTCCTTGATGGTAGTGACCTCGTTGACGATGGCTGCATCTTGGAACGTGGTGAGCAGCTCCACCTCCGTCATGTGCTCGGACACCTACCCCACAAACAACTTCGTGATCTCCTCCTCTACTCAGTTTACACCTCCACCAACAGCAACGGCGGCGATCAAGACGGCAACTTCCTCGACGCCCGACGCGCCACCCTGCATGACCAGCTGCCGTCATTGCCTCCGTGCTCATGTGGGTGGTAGAGAGAGAGAAAGAGTGTGTGGAGGGGAAGGGGAAGAGATTAAGGAGAGGATAAGATTAAATAGGTGGTGTGAGTAGTGGTGCTGGATATTTACTAGTAGTATCCCGTGTCTACGGGACTCCGTTCTCTAGATTTTCTGATTTTTTAAAGATTTTTGTCAATGATTAGTAGCGGAATAAATGTTTTACATATACCTAGATGTGATTAATTGTACAAACTAGAAAGGTATCAATCCCTATATTTTCCGAGAAGATTTTATATAGGTTCATGCCCCCATTCAAGGAAATACCCCTACGGCCCACTAGGATATATATACAAAGTATAAAAAGTACATATATGACACTAATGTAGACTAGTAATCTGCCCGTGCTAACTCTACGGTGTTATAATACATTTTTGTTAACGAATTACACGTTATTTCCTCCGTTTCATATTATAGAACTTTCTAGCATTGCCCACATTCATATAGATGTTAATGAATCTAGACACATAATGTGAAATGGAGGAAGTAGTAAAAATATGTTTCCTAGAATCCACCCAATTGAGCTTTATTTTGATCTAGGTCAGATATTAAGGCAAAGTACAGTGATATTATATTATCTAAAATATTAATTCAAAACCATCAATAATCATATTTAATCACTTCAATACCAATATATTAGACAATGCACATCCACACTTCCACAAAAAATGGTTGAGAATAAATTACATGTTCCAAGCAATTCCACGACTTCTGAATCATTAACACACACGGAGCTGGCAAAATGGAGCTGGGAAAATCTAGAAGTATCACACATTGACACACCACTACAATTATAGGATAGATGAAATGAATACATTGTGAAACAACAGTCATCACTTCTTCATTTTTCCATCTCTATCATTCAGTCAAGCATATTTGATCCCTTCTATAGATTTTTATAGACTTCTATTTTGTTATCCTCTCCTGCAGTAAGCTGTGTGCATCTTTACAAAGATCAGTGCTCTCAGGGTCACTTGCTTTCGTAAGACGCAATTGCATACGTCTTAGAGTGATTGTCAAAATAAAAGAGTTTAGTAAAAATGTTAATTAGTTATGTAAAAAAAATTGTCTTATAGAGTAACTGACATGCTACAGGGATATAAATATATTTGTATTACTTAGCAAGCATAGCAGTGCAGAATATGGTCAAGAGAATAAATCAGGGATCATGAACGGTTCAAAATGTGCCATCAATGGGGCTATCCTATATTTCCTGAAAGAGTCATCCACTGTTTTTCCTTTTTGATAGTAGTCAATGACACAACGACAAAATGTTCAATGGGATAAAAGAGTACCAATAGGATTAAACTGTTTTTTTACCATCATGTTTTTACAGTGAGTAACGAGACCAAAACTCCAATTGGTTAATTAGTACGTACCAATTAGAGAAATCTTCAAAAAATGAACCAAAACTCCCCGCGATTACCTTCCACAATTCCACCTTTTCTTCTCTACACAAGCCTGAAACAGAGTAAACATTTGTTTTCACATGGAAAAAATTCCATCAAGCAGTTGGCCATAATGAGAAAGAGCATCCAATCAAGCTATGTATCATTTTTGCACTGCACTAAATATCAGAGATTTGCAGCATTTTTCACTGCACTAAATATCAGTAATGTAAAATATTATTAAAAAGGAAGCTTAACATAAACTTGTTAGTTTTTCTTTGAATGAATAAACTTGTTAGTTCTTACGTACATACTACATACGAACGAAAATAAGGGAGGACCAGATGTGCATTCAGTGATGGTGGCATTCATGAACCTGAGCAGTTTAAAAATGAAGAAATATACATCGCTTCAGAAGCACCAGAAAATAAGATAGAATGAACCTGAGCAGTTTAAAAGTAAACATTGCACATGGTACAAAAGCAGAAATCGATTAATTTCCGGGAGATATAATGAGCATTGCACAAAGCAATGGTTGAAAGGCATTATAATCATACAGTCCAATTTGTCAGATATTTTTAATACATACACATATTTGTCTATACGATATATAATTCTAATCATGGAAGTGTATATTTCATCGTCGATAATTAACTCACTTTTCCTTAAACTAACTCTAGAAAATCCCAATAATTAAGAATCTAATCAGAATCTGCTTGCAAGTATTGGGTTTTTCATTAACCAATCAACCAATCGCAGCAGAGGAAATTTAGGGGGAGAGGATAAACCAAGGCAATTTCCGCCTTACCTTCTGCGCCTTATCACGATGCGAACAAATCGATTCGTCAACTACAGTACAACACTAACTACCTCATCCTGATGAAGGCATGAAGCAGAGAAGAGAATCTGAATTTATTCAGACATTAAACATCTGATTTTTTTTTCATAAATTCACTAATAAACTGGTAAGTTGTTCCTTTAGAGTTTAGACAATACATTGAAAGTGCTTGCACATTACTAATGCATGGCATTCTACATATTCAGGTGTCATGAATAAAAATGTAAACCAAATTTGACTTTTTAAAGGGAAAAATTATCACTGCACAAATCAGAACTTTCCATGTGGTTCAATAGAGCACAATTCCACCATTGAAGTAAAATCTCATTATGTATATAACCTTCGGTACACATCACAGAAAATGTATACAACGGAAAGTAAAAGAAGCTCTCAATATTGGCATCATGATTTAGATAATTAAATTCTTCTTTTAACTTGGATGTCAATTTGGATGTTGATCTCTTAAGAGAGCACACAACATGTCTATCAATTTAATTGGTTTCCTGGGTTATGTTGTTGACCAAGCAATGAAGTTCAAAAGAAATTATCTAAATTTTCAGATATAAACATCCCAATAATGACTTACCTTGTTGGCGAGCGGATCGCAGCCTGTGCGAGGCCAGTGCCGGGGTTGAGAAATCCGACCACCGGGACTTGGAATCTCGAACTCGCACGCGGCCAGAGGAAGGGGCTGGTGCCGGGATCAACCGCGAAAACAGGGCGGCATCACTAAGGCCAGATCGGAGCAAGAGGGAGGAGCGCTAAAAATCAAATGGAAGACATCAAACCCAAATCGTGCTTATAACTTATTTAAACTGTATAACTACGAGAATCCAGTTTGTGAGTATTTTTTAAGCTCTGTTGAACACATGATAACATCATAATATTATATTCGCATCATCACAATACATGATCTATTTAAATTGAGAAAATAATTTACAGAACCAAAAGCTGGTCTGCACCTGAATTGCCAGCATCACTTGTTTCAATCCCACATAACAGAATGACCAGCACGCATGTTTATTGTACTATAAAAATTTACACCCTACTTATCAAAACCCAAGACATCATAACCTACTCTCATTCTTCAGTAAAATTAGCAACCAGAAATTAAATGGGCATCCCACAAAGGAATTTAACCTTCTCACATCACAAGAACATGCATATAATTTCATATACAAAAATTGCAAAATATTATATCCATGTGAATTAAATTCATTCTTCCAATATAGCAAGCAAGGTGTACACCTCAGAACAAGTAACAATGAGTGTAACACATCAACAGAGGCGGCTTATCACCATATTGGGTTCAGGAATGATCTCCTCTAGATGGTAGATTGTCTAACATTAGTCAATTGACGGGTGACTTCAGAGGGAATTCATCTGAAACAAAAGGCTGTTGGCTCTTGTTAAATACTCCATTGTTGTTCTGATGGTATTTGCAGCCGCAACCAACTAAAATATTCCCTAATTGCTCCTTGAGCAAACAACTCCCAATCCAATCCACAGAACATTCAATCCTGACCAAGCGATTGTGATGGGACACTAACTGAGCAGATGAATTATAGAACTAAGTAACAGAGTACATAATTAAATTTGAGGGAAAAGGGATACACTCACACGCTTGCGTCCTCACGGCCGAGGAGCTTGACCGGAGTTCTTGTCTTCGGCGACATTACCTGAGACGCCGAGAGCTCGTCGGGCCCGAGTATCCTCCAAGGCCACCATGACCCGTTCCGTCGCCGGGGATCATCGTGTGGGTGCGGTGACGGAACGGTGACGTAAATCCTGGACGACGACGGATGCGACGACGGTGATGGGGATTGGTTGAGGGCGAGCCGGCGGCGGGGATCGGTGGCGGCGAGACGACGGATGCGACGAAGGCGGAGCGGCGGCAGTCGAGGGTGGCGGCGACGACGGATGCGACGACGGCGGAGCGGCGGCAGTCGAGGGCGGCGGCGACGACGGATGCGACGATGGGTGACGGCGGAGTGGCGGCAGTCGAGGGCGGCGGCGACGGTGGTGGCGCGGGGATCGGTGGCGGCGAGACGACGGATGCGACGACGGCGGAGCTGCGGCAGTCGAGGGCGGCAACGACGGCGGTGGTGCCGCGTGAGAGGGAGAGATTAGGGTTGGGGAGCGGCGCGCGGTTGGGGAGGGGCGGGGACGCGTGAGAGCGAGAGAAAGGGGGCGGAGAGGATGGCGCGGTGGAGAGGTGGAGACGATCCTGAGCGTTGGATTTTACACAGAGATGATCTGGACCGTTCCATGAGTAATGAAAGAATGAGTGATGAGTGAAACACCTTGTTGAACTATAGAGTAAGATATATGAGTGCAAGTTAGATATTTATTATCTCAATTTATGTGATTAATGAACCTGATAATTACATAATGGAAATAAATGGAATGATAATAATTTTCACATCTGATCTGAATAATAAAATCTCATCCACTCGAATTCATGTTTGAACGGTCTAAATAAATGGGAGCGATAATGGTTTTGATTTTGACATCCAAATAACATTTTTGTCCGTCTAAGTCTACATCCGGTTGAATTTGAGAATATAATTAGTTACCTTTTTTTGTCGCAATACCATTAATAGTTAGCAAAATATATCAATTTAGTATCAAATATTCTAAATTATCTCATGTAAGTGCTTACATTGTTATTATTGTATAGTTGAAAACTTGAAATGAAACTACTTAGGTATTCGATTCGGACCAAAATAGATTACTAACTGATTCTAGTTCACATATTCTCCACACATCATATTTGTATTCTCACTTGACACACATTCGATTCATTTTCCAATCCGTCTCAACTTATATCGTGTATGATATAGTTTAGCCATTATCCAATTTGAAATTGACCGATCACACCCCTATCTAGACCTAGTCGACTAACTCGACGAGGTAAGCAGTGGCAAGATGTGGTCAATGATATGGTCTTCGGCTTGAGGTTGTTGATGGCTTCTTATGCATGATAGTTCGGTACTTCGGTGATTTCTTGAGTTGTGTTTAGTTCCTGAAATTTGGGAGAAGTTTGGGGAAAGTTGGTAGTTTGGAAAAAAGTTAGGAGTTTATGTGAGTAGGAAAGTTTTGGATGTGATGTGAGGTGATGAAAAGTTGGGAGTTTGGAGAAAGTTTGATGTGAACTAAACAGGGCCTTGGTGTCTTGACCTTACAGGGTATTCGTATCTCTAAGTTCCTGTACTCTTGAGGTACTCGTAGAGAGAATTTTGATCAGCTCATGACAAGTCATGGTCATATCTAACTTGGTCTTGTAAAATCATACCCTATTTGGTGGCCAATATATATAACATATTTGAGGAGCTTTAAAATTCTAAAAAGCAGTCGATTGGCAATCAGCTTCGATATGAGAATATAACAAAGCTAAATTTCTCAGCTTTTGGCTTCTAATTTATTTTCTAAATTTTACAACAAAAACCTCGTGAGCAAGTCATCAGCACTCCATCGGTATAGGCCGTTTTCGTGAGCATTGGGTACGAAGTTGACCCTCTAACCTCCTTGACCAAGCGTTGCACGACCAAGGCTGATGTAGGGAGGTGGAGCACCCTTGGGGCCCATAATGGGATCTTTTTTTTTTGCGGGGTCCATAATAGGGTCTTTGATCTACACACGAGACAATTCGTGGTAGGAGCCGATATGGCTCTGATATGATTTGTTGGCTCTCGATACAAATAACACACACGAACCTTGGGACAAACACCTGATGTTTCAACCACACGTTCGCGTGTGTGATTCATAGACAAGAGCCAACAAGTAGTATTAGAGCCAAGTCAGCTCCTACCGTCGACCGCCAATCCGCTATGAGAGTGTGTGGGACTTTCCCCAACCCACCTTCCCCTCTATGCCGGCCTCGTCACTGCGATGGCGGTGGCCGTGAGATGGTCATGCAGCGTTCCACGACACTCCGCGGTTGACGACACGCGCCATCCCACGCATCCCGCTCAGAGTGCACACGACCCGGATTCCATATGCGCGCCATGAGCGCTCCGCGACCCGCGTGTGCCGTCGTAGCGCGCGACTCGGACTCGGACTCGGACGCGCTACCGCTGCCACCACGCAGGGTGCTCGGCTAGCCCAACGAGAACAGAAAAGAGCTAACTAATCATGCCAATATTAATTTGTAGATCAACGTTTGGTCACGGAGCAGGTGGGCAGAACAAGAAGCGGAGCCTGTCGAGGCGTCGGTACTTGATGCCGACGGCGAGCACGGCCATGACGGCGGCCCAGATCAGCACGTCCATGGCGAGCGACGTCCCCGACTGCGACGTGACGAACGTGAGCACGAGGCTGGAGTAGGACACCAGGAACGGCCACTGCACGGCGCGCGACCGCGGCGGCACGCCGGTGAGCAGCGCCAGCGTGAGCAGCATCGAGCTCCCGAACCCGGCCCAGCTCGCCGCCATGAACAGCCAGTACCGCCGCCGGTGCTTGTCCCGCATGATCGGGTCGCCGGCGCCGTCGTCCTGCCAGTACCCTCCCGGGATGTTCGTCCCCAGCTGGTACGTCAGCGCCGTGATCAGCGTCGCCACCACCAGCAGCGTGTCGTTCTTGTTCGCCCCGAACCCCGGCGCGTGACTGCGGCCGCCGCCCGCCGCCGCCGGCGGCGACACTGCCGTTCTCCCGCCGGTGGTTGTCGCCCAGCTCCCCGCCGACCTCCGCCAGGTGGCCGGCGCGGCCGTCCTCAACTGCTCCGGCGTCCATCTTACCTCACCACGCCGGCCCCTAACTCAATGTCCAGCTGCAAAGCTTAATTAGATCGGAGAAAGAACAGTAAAATTTTTGCAGCAATTTAGACGAAGCCAATACTTCTTGTCTACTAAGATCTTCTTTTCTACTCCTATCTTGTGTTCTTGTTTTCAAACATGCTGAGTGCATATGCACACAAACACACGCACCGCCATATATAGAGGAGAAATTTCATAGTTAAATCACGTACTTTCTTGATCGCTGCCAATCGGTTTGGGAGGTAATTTCTCTGAAGGAGATGGGAAGCACAGCACGGAGTTGCTAGTCCACTCAAGTCTTCTGTCCGACGACCTTGAGCTCCGTGGATATCGCGCGTTCAGGTAAAAAGGACCTGGAGCTCTGGTCCGATCGGGCGAAGACTGAACTATTCAGTCTCTCCTCGTCAACGCCAAGTCCACGTGGAGTCTACTACATGCTGGGTTCTGCTTATCATATTAATCCATTTTTAAAGTATTTTAAATCATACCGAATGCAAGTTCCGTTTTCCACTCTACCTCCTCCCGAACACACTCGTACGGCTGCGTTTGTTGCACCAGACTGAGAGAGGAAAAAATATATCTGTTTTCTGTTTTCCCGCACTGACGCTTATGCTAAACGATGTGTTTTTTTATAAAATTCTTTTAAGAGAATTAGTTTAAAAAAGGAGAACAGCTACTTTAGTCCCTAAAATTTCTTTATAGAATCAGTTTAGTCCTAACCTTTTAAATAGTCTAAAGAAATCCTTAAACTTTGTCATAAGGCCTAGAATACTCCTTAGGTCCACCAAAATCATCATATGGATATGCCATGTCATCATTCATGCAAAATCTATGATGAATTGTCTAATTTAACCTTATGTATATCATAGAAAAATAAATATAAAAGTGAATTAGACATAGCCATAGGAAAAAAATACTCTTTTTTTCACCCTTTAGAGGTATATTTTTGCTCTTACATATACCATGTATTTTTTTTAACTTTTTCCTTTTGTTTTTTATTTTCCTGTGCGTAAGGGTAAATTGGACAAATCATATAGATTTTGCATAGGAATGTGACATGGCATGTCTGACGGAGCTCGTGGCTCCTCACCGGGAGACCGCGCAGGCCCCCCTTTGCCAGTTCGGCCGGGGGCTTAGGGTGAGATCTCAAGCTCTCTCTGTATGTGGGAAGATCGCGTGCCCGGAAGAAACGCGAGACACGGACGATGTATACAGGTTCGGGCCGCTGGGAAGCGTAATACCCTACTCCTGTGTTTTTAGTGGATCTGTGTATGAGGGAGCTACAAAGTATTCACTTCCTTTCCCCTCTGCCTTCCAAAAGGGAAAAAGTCCCCCCACTAAATGGGCAAGGTCCTCCTTTTATATCTCAAGGGGATACCACATGCACCTTTCTCTTTCCAAACTGGACTGTTCTTTTTCTCTTTAATGGGCGGAGATCGGTACGGTTTCCATCCGGGAGCCCTTCTGATGGGACAGCCCACACCTACCCCCACCTCCCCCGAAGACAGAGATGACGCGGGACCGTGGCTGTCTGTCGATGACGCGACCAGTGCCAGACCGGTCATTCTTGTCCACCACGCGTCAGCTTAACAACGTGCATGTTTGCCCTTCTTCGTGTAACACCTTGCCTGTAATGGTTAGGATGAAGCCTGGTATAAATCTGACCAGGGCTAACGTGCCATCTCTAAGAGATAACACGCTAGCTCCGGCTTGAGACGAGTGCCTAGAGGCTTTCGTCTTGACGGGATGGGGCAAGGTGTGCGTCAGACCGCCAGTCGCCACCTAACCCGTGATCTGACCGGTCTGTGACTGGTCACAGACCGGATAAAGGAACGCGCTGTACTGCGTTGCATGCAGCGTGACACGCTTGACCAGACTGCAATAAATGCTGTTAGGTGAGCACAGCTGTGCTCACTTATCCCATATATGTGGCGCAGACTTCCTTAAGGGGTCGGGGTGCCTCGGCCCTCGGGGCCGGGGCAAGCGCAACCCGACCCCCCCTCGGGGGAAATCAGGAGGAGGGCGGACACCTCACCCTCGGGCCCGACGTCCCCGAAGGTGCCAGGCCATGTGGGCGATTGCGTCTGCCTCAAGCCTCTGGTCATGATACTCCCGGTCCCATATCACCGACAATGTCCATGTGGTGATTTTGGTGGGACCAAGGACTATATCAGTCCACATGATAAATTTAAAGGACTTGTTTGGACAATATGAAATATTAAGGACTAAAATGACCCAGGAGCGAAACTTTAAGGACCATATTAGCTATTCTCCCTTTAAAAAATCATAATATTTATTTTTTTAAAAAATATAAAATAATTAATACTTAATTAATTATACGCTAATGGTTTAAATCGTTTTACATATTTCTCAAATTTCTTTTTTTCTCCCCCCTTCAAATACTCCCCTATGCCAAAAAAAAAAAAACTAACCCCTCATAGTTGTCCAGATTCATTTTCATTGTACTAGTAGGAGAGAGATCTCTTTAGGTTAGCTTTTTTTTTTTTATAAAGGGAGTACACTCGTAGGTTGCTTTCGTTCCTTGCTGACGGAACTAATATATCGTGCACGTAAAACGGAATGATCATTAGCACATAATTAATTAAGTATTAGCTTTTTAAAAAATGATTAATATGATTTTTTAAAGCAACTTTCGTATAATTTTGTTTAAAAAAATACACCGTTTAATAGTTTGGAAAACGAGAAAGATGTGTTGGAACTTCAACAAAAAAAAAAGAAACACAGCTTAAACAAAAACTCATCTGAAAGAGAAGTTCAGAGTTACACGTACATTATCAAGATGTACGAATGTGAAAAAGATGATCGGATTTCTGAAGATGCTCACTCTAATTCTGTTCCATTTTCATATCAAGACAAGAAAACTGAGACAAAACCAGAGTTGAGCTGACCTTGACTTGCACAGGGTCCAAGCGCGTCACAGCTCTTGGTCATAGCATGGTAAAGGCTGTGTTTAGATCAAAGTTTGGATCCAAACTTCAGTCATTTTTCATCGCATCAACCTGTCATACACACACAATTTTTCAGTCACATCATCTCTAATTTCAACCAAAATCCAAACTTTACGCTGAACTAACCACAGCCAAAGTGGCGAAGCGCAAATCTGTAACTTACACATACGGCTCTGGATCCCCTGGACGTGGCTACAAATACATATTCGCTTCGTCCAAAAAAAAAACAGAAATCTTAGAGGATGAAACATGAAGCATATTCTAATACGATAAATATAGATAAACATATATCTATATTCGTCATACTAGAATATGTCTCATCCCCAACATATATTCATCATACTAGAATATGTCTCATCCCTAACGAATATGTCTCATCCCTAACTAGGTTAGATGCTTTTGGGACGGAGGAAGTAATTACATATACTGAACAGTGAACATCCACAACTCAGTTTTATGCACTAAAACAAGATACTAACAGTAGAACGAGGACAGGAGCAGTTTTATGCGCGAAAACAAGATACTAACAGTAGAACGAGGACAGGAGAGAAGGGAGAGAAAAACGAAATGTTTCAACAAATTGCGACGGTTACTGACCAACTTAAGCAACTATTATAATGCAAAGACCAAACTCCTCGTTCTTACAACACTCACTCAACGATACATCACAAGATATAAACAGGGGCGAGCGAGCAAGGCAGGAGGCACTAGAGTGACACCAAGCGATTATACTTAATTACTTATATATAAACCATGCATTCCAGACACACCATTCATCATCACATACACCACCATGGCACAAGACCAGAACGCAACCCCCTCCTCCAGGCAGGAGATCAGGATACATTCCCGACTTCACAGCAAAATTAAATCAGGAAGGAATACTTCGCTCTAAGCTCAACCAGATCTAGGAGTCCCATGTTCTTCCAGGCTGCTGCCTAGGCTGCGAGGACGATTATCACTATGAGCAGGACCACCCCGAATATAACCAGCAACAAGCATATCTGCAACATAAAATGAGAATCGAACAATGTTTCACATGTTGAAGTGAGTGCCAGTGAAATATATTAATGAGTGCTAAAGGAGTCTAAAAGTACCAGCGAAGAGTTCGACTTCTGAGTTTTAGCAGCCTTAGAGAGTTGGCCTTTTGCTTGTGTAGTCGCTATAACAGCATTCTCGATATGGGTGTCAATGTCATCTGCAGTATAGGAGGAGATACACAATCAGATATAACATACCAGATATATGAGCAGCCTCGTGCTTCAACGTATCAAATAGCACATAATCCCATCTATCATCCCCAACGGTACCACATACCAATCATTTGTCCTTGATCGTGGACTAGAACAGCAAGATCTTTGAAGATTTCATTTACTTCAGTAATTTGGTGCTGAATTTCTTGTATTCCCTGATCCCTCTCCTCAATGACGGCCTCATTGAACACGATCTCATTATCCAAGAAGACTAATTCTTGCCTACAGTAAAGAAAAAAATTGAGGTTATCATGTTCACACATTTGCAAAGGAGTGAATTTGTTCATTCATTTCAAAACAAGTGAATACTTTATAGAAATGTTCGAAAACAAATAGTCCAAAGCATAACCAAATAGTACTATCAATTCACCTTCTTGATTCTAGAAGCGCCGTGCGTTGCTCAGCCAACTTATCAGCACCATTGTTCACCTCGCTCGAGTTATAGCTGCAAAGAACAAGCCATCCTAGATTACTCATATGTTGACAACATACTGGAAAAACTTTGACAATATATTATCATAGACCAGCCTCAAAAATATGTTGTTATTATTATTACAGAAAATTAACATATAATGAATGTGAGGTACAAAATTTTGCAATGATCTAAAGTACCATTGAATGGAGATAATTTTAAGAAAATAATGTTTTGCTGTTTTACTTGGAAGACCCAAGAAGACAGGCTACACTTGAAAGTGGTTTTATTATTCTGAGTTCTATGAATAAGACAAACTTCATCGCAAGTTTAGTCAGAAAATGAATTTATGATATTGAAAGCTAGGGCCTGGGGGCTGAGAAAGTGGACCATGAACAAAACGCTAGATATTTAAGGGTAAAACAGGCAGAGAAACTTATACGCTACAGTAGATCAAAACAGCAATACGAACTATTTGGATAGGATCAAATATGAATGCTCATCCTGTAAATGCGCACCAGAAGGTATTGTATTAGGTTGGAATAAACCAGGGCATTAACTATTAGGGTCATCAAGCACTTGGCAGATTAAAAGCACTAATCCAGTGTTATTATTATTCCATTTACCTCAGAAAACATAATCCAGTGTTAAGTCCAGTCAAACTGAAAATATTTTTTTCATGAAATTTTTTTAAAACTTGACGTAGAATAATTTATTTGTTCAAGAGAGAGTATGCAACAAAATTATTCTGCAGAGTAAGTAAAATGTAACAGGATGCTGTAGCATTAGTACACTACCAAGAAAATGATAAACAATATGCCATGAATTATATTATTGTAGTAAGTGCACTTTTGTTCAAAAACATAAGATGCCAGGAAGAAAAATAAGCAAGTATTTACAGAAAGAAGTACACCAGCTGACTAGCAAACTACCTTTGTGGCAAGCCCGCTTGAGAAATGAAGGGTGCATAAGCAGCTTCTCTTTCTACCGCTAACCGTTGAGCTTTCTGAAATTCTTTCAGAACTGCTTGGAAATCCTTTGCTAGCTTCGCATCAGCAATCTTTTTGCTGGCCTGTAGTTCCAAACGAGGTCATCAACACACATTGTGTAATACATCAGCAAAAATGGAACATAGAAATGTTCCTTAAAATAGTAATGATCATAGATTCATAGGCAATCAATACTACATAAAGCAGCTCATATAAGAAATGCAAATGCTACATTTGATCTCTACATGATTCTAAAATCTGCTTGTAGATTATTTCTCCAGTGGCATGGCAACACACTTGAAAATATCATGACTGGAGCATATTGAGTATTTAAGAAAACAATTTGTTTTATGTGCTGAGGCAAATCACTGTTCACAGTAGTCAGGCAAAACTAAGACTGATACAGATAAAAAATGCCCAAATTAGAAGTGATGTTTCCAGTCAGAATATAAGGACTGGGTAGGTTCAGTTTCCAAACCAATATGCATTATTACACTCTTCTGTACTTTGAAGGAAAATGTCAAAATTGAAGGTTTTCTGGTTCAAAAAGTAGCATCACATGTTGCAATTCCATTTCATTTTGATGCAAAAGGTGAAGAGTACTGAAATAATTCTGGTTTCAAACATACAAGATAGAAACAGTTCCAATTCTGTTTTGAGAAAAAAGCAACTTGGACAAAGATGCAAGAGAATACTTACGCTGACTTCGACACGATGATCAGCCTCGCTAGCTTGTTTAAGCTTCTCCGATGTGTCCTTCACCAGTTGTGTTATGTGTTGACGTGTCTTGTGTCTGCAAGCAACACCAACAGAAAGTAAATCGACCCATCAAACCAAAAAAATAACTAGTCTAAAGTACAGAAAAAGGGTTAAGGCATAATACAAGTTACTACACTATAAGACAGCATGCCAGGCCATACATGGCATAAATTGAATCAATTTCAGTAGAAAGGAATGGAGAAAACATCTTATTCGAGGCCATCGGATCTATTCATATACCAGGAATGGCATGATTCATCAATTCTACCTAAGTTCAGCGGCTATCACCCAAACATGAGTTGCTAGTAGATAAACTACAGGCAGGGCTCCCCAAATTGAATCCCTAATTATCACTAATACATAATTATCACGAAGAGAAGGGAGAAGCAATCCTAAGCAACACGTAATAAGAGAGATATCACGAAGAGAAGGGGAGAAGCGATCCCTAAGCAACACATAATATGAGAGACATAGGTTCATCACGCGAATCGACCGCATAAACATATAACCTAATCGAGATCGCAAATCATGCAGCGGAGCCGCACAATTCCCCCCCAAAATTCATCACGCGCATCCAAAATCGGAGCCCCGGATCGCAAAATCCCCCAATCCCCCGCTCCAAATCGAACCAAAATCGATCCCCCGACCCCCGCTCCAAATCAAACCAAAACCAAACAGACGTGGGGTAGGTAGAGAGTATGGCGCGGGGGGAGCCTCACATCCTCTCGCGGAGGTCGGGGGTGTCCTTGGGCGTGCCGAGCGTGTTGACCAGCCGCTGGAACGTCGACACCGCCGTGTTGATCTGGAACACCCCCGACGCCACGGCCTGCGACGCCCCCGCCCCGGCGGCCGCGGCGCCCGCCCTGCCGCCACCGCCCCTCCGCGGCAGCCCGCGGGCGTTCCCCGCCTCCAGGTCCTGGAAGCTCATCCTCCTCCTCCCTCCCCGCCGCCTCCTCCTCCGATCGGGGTACCGAAGAATCGCCGCGCGGGAGAGTCCGGGGTGTCTCGCGGCCGGCCGCTCGCCGGAGGAGGATTTGGGGGGGGTGGAAATCGAGCCGGAGTCGGAGACGTGGCCTTCGTCGACCTCGCGTTGGCGTCTGGAATTGGGGGGGCGTTTTGTTTCCTTGGCGTGGAGTTAATTTGGGGGATTTGGTGGTGTTGGATTCCGCAATTCCCTCGGGTTGGGATACCGGGTGGAGCCAAGGCTCGGGACGCTGGCGCTGCTGCTAAATTATGGTGTTCCGCGCTGGGATCCGGGCCCCACACGGCAGGGTCCGTCCGTCCGGGTCAGGTCAGCCTCGCTGGCGCTGGCGCTGCCTTTCGTGGTGCGCGCTTCGGTGTGGGCGATTAATTAATTGAGCTGTTAACTGTGCACGTGGATTTTTCTTTTACAACGCAGTACACTGTACACACCCTCAAACGTGCGGTCGCTCACCCCTATGAATACACCCGCAGATCGATATCCATGAGTCTTCTCACTTACCCCTATAAATACATACACATCCGATCTCTATGAATTGCCTTATTACCTGTATATATATATGTTGTCTACCACTGAAAAATTAAACAGCTCTATAAGTCGTATCACTCATCTCTATGAACACATATGTGCATTCGACCCATATGAGTCGTCTCACTATCGACTACATATGTCTACCACTAAATGAATAAACATACATAAATATAAAAAAAACACATACATCCAACCCCCTATGAGTCGTCTCGTTGTCCATGGATACGCTATCTATCACTGAAAGAATAAATAACTGTAAATGTGAATACTCATATCGAGTATGTATTTGAACCTGAGTGGATTGATTCTACCACACAACTTTTGAGCTACGCCCACTTCGGTGCACGTGGAATTTGTAAATCAACTAAGGGTCTATTTAGTTAGAAAAAAATTTGCCCCTACATGTCACATCGGATATGCGGACACATATTTAAAAGTATTAAATGTAGCCTAATAACAAAACAAATTACAGATCCCGCCAGGAATATGCGAGATGAATTTATTAAGCCTAATTAATCTGTCATTAGCAAATATTTACTGTAGCATCATATTGTTAAATCATGGCGCAATTAGGCTTAAAAGATTCGTCTCGCAATTTCATGGCGAACTATGTAATTTTATATATTTTTTGTCTACATTTAATACTCTATATATATACAAACATTCGATGTGACAGCGTAAAAATTTTTAATTGGGAATTAAACAGGCTCTAATAGTAATACCACTGATACTCTTCTTTCTCTACTACAGCAATTTTGTTTGAAAATAAAATTTTACATGAACGTATAATACTAATGAAAGTAACGTGTTTATTTATTTTTAGAATTTTCGATAATATTTATCAGTTGGAGTACATCTGAAACTCTTAGGTAGTTTGGGACAGCATCGTGGGTTAATTTTGATTTAAGTAAGAGCTTGACAGGTTGGGCTTTTGATTTGAGCAAGTGGTAAGAGTAATTAACAATCTATTTGTCGGATGGGAGAGACCGGCGGCAACGGCGACGTGAAACCCAAGGCAGGAGGAAAGCAGATTAGTGAGAAGGATGGGGAACCTTTGGATGATTATCAGTTCAACCTGAGGAATTGTGGATGGCACGGCGGCCGACTATAAAATCTTTTGATATTGCACGTCATTTTCCATGGCCTATTGTGAACATGATAAATTGAGTTTTTTTTCTCTTAATTGAATTGACTCCTTTAAGCATTGTTCTGTTCGTTCATGGTTTTTGCCGGATGAGGTTCTCTACTTAACTCGTGTTAGATCCGCTTATGTGAGATGTTATTTTATAAAGTATTGCCTTTGTATTTTAATATATGATATTGTTTTACTTTGTTGTGTATATTTAGTGTGTAACATTGATCGCTGTGTATTTTGATGTTAGGATAGAAAGTCTGCTATCTCTAGACAAAAATACACCTAAATAGGTTTAACAGAATAAAGACAATAACATTATATATTTAGATAAAAAGAATTTTTATTTAGAGAAGTTATGATCCAGAGCTTTATACGTAAGGTAGTAGGGTTTACCATACCAATTGACCATTAAATTTCGAGCCATGTCGGTATCACAGTTTTCAATAAATTCTGATTAAATTTAGATTAAAATTACTGTTTGGCATTTAGATTCCAAAAGCATTTCAAATTCTAACCGAAAATTAATTTCGAGCCGCATCGAAAAAACACGAAAACCGGCTTTCGTCGCTCAGTGAACCTATTGTAAGCACAACCAGCAAATTCTCCTTGATGACACTAAAAATTTAGCCAGAGGGGACAAGGTGCCTTTGAATCTTTTTTTGAGGAACCAGGTGCCTTTGAATCTGGATCGATCATGGATGTTCTGCTTTTTCGCAACTGTGAAACCCTGTCTTCTCTGTCTCGGTGTGACACGGGCATGGACTAATGATGGGCAGGCCGTGAAATGAATGGACAACGTAGCCGAGTTCTCTTCTCCATCTCGTCTTCTCATCAAGATATCGAACAGATGTGCTACTAGGATGCATGCTACCTCCGTTCATCGATTATACGCTAGCTGCTGAAACTTGACGCCATACCTTTTTCTTAATTTCTTGTATTATATTCATGCCATCCCGGCTTCGACTTACTAACTCTGTTCCTTTTGGATTATTCAACGAAATATTATGATAGATTATCTACTTAGTTACATAAATAAATCAAATGTTTAGAAAATAGATTTATAAAACAGCTTAAAACGATAATCTAAATAATATAGTAGAAGAAAGTTTCTTTAGAAAATGAATTTTTTTGAAGCGTAGAGTAAATAATCTGTTACGATAATCTAAAAAGAACAGAGCCAAGCAACATAAGAAACCGACGTTGTTCTGCAAAAGATATTGGAAAAAGGTATATTTGATCGCTATCTAATGACACTGTTTTATTGTTGCATATTTAAATTGATACCATTGGTCAAAGCTTGACAACTCAAAAAAAAAAAAAACTGGCAGTTACTCACGAACGGCGTACTCATTCAGAATTTTAATGAAACGGAACCTTCTTTGCAGCACCTTGCTTTGCATTGTGAAAAGTGTAAGAAATTAAACAGGAATTCATGTTGCTCTGTGTACAATCAATTGTACATCCGGTTACTGCAAAACCGGTTTCCTTTCGTGTGATTAATTACTTTCGGTTTGAAGTTAAACTTTCTTTTCAATTTACTGTTTGACTCAAATCCCTCAATGCCCAACCGAGCTACCTACTCCCCGGCGAGGCGAGCATGGTGTCCGTGGACTTGATCAGGTCTCCTAGGAAAAATTCATCGGCGGTAGTTAAAATGGCCGGAAAATTTTGTCACGCATGAGACATTCGACGCATTCGTGATCTATGCATGGTAGTACATTAGATCCGTTCAGACCGTTACATCTTACCAAGATTGCAAAGATGGAGAAGCAATGTCAATAATCACTGCTTCCTCCGTTACACGATGTAATACTTTCTAGCATTACCTAAATTTATATAAATATTAATAAATCTAGACATATATACAAAATATATATATTTATTGATTAATGGATAAATCTAGATAACGGAGAAAGAGAGGGAGTACGTACTACAAGAGGAGCGAACATGTATACACTTACTTTATAAATGATATTCCCTTTGTTTTTAATATATAGCGTCGCTGATTTTTTAAGATATATTTGATCATTTATTTTATTAAAAAAATTTATATAATCATTATTTTTTTTATTATGATCTGATTTATTAAATGTTTTTAAGTATGACTTACAATATTTTATATTTGCACAAAAAATTTACATAAGACGAGTGGTCAAACGTTTATAAAAAAATCAACGGCGTCATGTATTAAAAAACGGAGATAGTAGTATTATATTTCTACACTCTACAGACATGTTAATTTGGAGCTTAAAAATTCTGGTCAATCCCACCTATGCAGAGCTTTTGTTTCCTATGAAATTCTAGCAAAATTTACATGCGTGCTTGCAGAAATGACATAACTTCCGCCAAAACATGCTTGACTAGTTGACTTGAATTGTTCAATGTGGCAACACGCTTGCCGGTCATTCATGAGCACCGTGAACCTTCGCATGTTTTTTGAGTCAATGCATGCGTACAGTCTACTGCTTTGATCGGTTCAAATTTTAACCAAACTTTTAATTTTAGTGTGAACTAAACATACCCTCTTTTATATTTCTCTCTTTTCTTTTCCAATGCAAAATTCTGTGTTCTCTTGACCAGAGTAACACTAATAGGTCTTTCTCTCTCCAAATTTTTCAGAGATCGACGGAGGTAGCTAGCGAGATGGCGAGATCACCTCACCTCAGTACCTCACTTTGCGTGAGTGGAACAAACTGACTGTTATAGCTGTAGGCAGCAGGAGACGTCTCATTGTTTCCTGTATACAGCATTACTTGCTTCCAAAATTTAAATTTAAAATTGATTTTAATTTTTTTATCAAAGTTTATTTTCCAGTATTGATATTTAAGTCGTAAGAGAACACACACATATATGTATATATATATACATATACATATATATATATATATATATATATATATATATATATACATATATTACTCACAAATTATTTTTTATGTCGTACGGTGTATTATCCATATTTAGCTAAACTATGGAACCCACAGCCGACTGAAACGATCAAGAGCAATGTAATAGACAATTAAATTTTAAAATATACATTGTTATCCTCGATCTTGCATATATGCATTTAAAAATTTTACGAAGATATACATTTCCCGCTATTTAGGAACGTGACACCGCGTCCTTAGCATAACTCGAAGGCGCGAGACTGACTGGAGGGGCGGTGCCGCAGTGCAAACCGACCAGTCTCTCGCAGGGTTCAACTTTTCGTTTACCGTGTGTTTGTATCGAGCGGTGCCGATATTCGAACTTTGGAATAAAATTTAGTTAAATTTGAACAAATATTACCAAAATTAAAAAAATACTAGAAGTTTTGGCCGAAATAATATCGTATTGAAGGGGTTAGAAATGACCGAAATCTCCCAAATTAATTTCAGTCCCAAATGTCGAACCTGGTCTGTAGTACACTCGTATTCCCTCCGTCCCAAAATAAGTGCAGTTTTGCACTGTTCATGTGTCACGTTTAACCGTTCATCTTATTTGTAATTTTTTTTATGATTAATATTTTTATTGTTATTAGATGATAAAATATAAATAGTACTTTGTATGTGACTAATTTATTTTAATTTTCTCATAAATTTTTTAAATAAGACGGATGGTCAAACGTTAGACACGGATTCTCATGGCTGCACTTATTTTTGGGACAAAGGTAGTACTGCGGGATCTCGGCGCGACAGCGACCACACCGGAACAATATCACCGTGTAACACGTTGCAATGAGGAGGTCGGGTACAGTTGCATGTTGTTGTCTTGAAAGCTGCTACTTTGATAGAAATATTTGGATTAAATATACAATAACCGAAGGTATGGATTTCTTGTGGTAAAAAGCACCTTTTCCAATACCATGATATTACCGTATCTATCTACATTGTTCACGTTGTCAACAATAGAACACAAACACACACACGAATACACGGAACACAAAAGTGGAGGGGCTATAAACTTTTATTGCTGTCTTCTCTCTGTTACAGGTTAACTTTTCCCTCAACCCCTCTACTGTATTTATACCCATGATAGAATAGAGTGCTATAAGAATACATACATGTATATTTATATATTTTGTATAAGCCTACTTCATCCCTAAGGATAGTGAAGAATAAAAGGAGGAGGCAGGAGGGTACTATGACCATCATGATCACGGCGCCGACCTCACGGTCACTACAAATCCGATTTTTTCGGGAGATAAGTTTCGTAACACTATCTATCTATTACTTCCTCCGATTCATATTATAACTTACTTTAATTTTTTCTAATCAAACGTTGTTATAGATCGAATTAGTTTCATTAAATATAACATTGAATATATTTTGATAATATATTTGTTTCATATTGGAAATGCTAATATATTTTTCTATAGAAGTGACATATAATATGAGAAACGAAAGTAGTATATTATTAAAAATAGCTTTGAAAGTAAGCACCGCATTAATTCTGAAGGCTAGAAATTATCACATTAATCAAATAAAAAGAAAAAAAAGATCTTAAGAATTAAATTATGGTAAGTCCAAACTACAATGATACATATTGATTGATATAATTGTATACAAAACATAATTAAATAAATAGAAATAGAAGCTGTGAGTTGTATATAAAATTTAAGCAAATCCAGACCTAATAGAAAAATAGAAGCTAAGTGTGGTATATAAAATCAAATATACCCCTACATATAATGGTATGAATATAAAAAATTAGAGTTGTATATTAAGTCTAACTCCACATGCATTATATAGCTCCGCGTAAAACTGAATGAGGCAATCTTGTAGTTACCTAATTATGAAAAGGTATAAATGCGTGATTAGAACTATATCTCAAAGATCGTAAGAATATCCAAACTGGGATAAAAATGGTCGGAAACAATATCATTATTTTATTATTTCTATGAAAACAGTCGGAAAATTTCATAGTTTTGAATTTAACTATCTAGTATTAACTTCAATGTAACAGAATTGAGAAAAACTATTTTTTTAGAAACAATAATAGTCGATAAAAATATTATTATGATATTAGTTTACAGAAAGTTATCGGCGTGGTCAGAAAATTTTCGTACCACCCTCACCCCTTCCCAAAACGATATATATGTCCAGGAGTTTCTGACTTTTGGGTCTACGAGCCTTGAGGAGAGAAGAATATCAAGTGCTACTGTACTATCAATGTTAAAAAATACATCCAAAAAGTTGCAAAAGAAATATGAAAAAATTCGGAGATGTGTAGGTATGAAAAATATTAAAAAATATAAAAAAAATCAAATCAAAATACTATGTAGGTAGGGAAAAAAAGATAAATCACAGTTGATTGGTAAAGTGACATGCTTGAACACTGTTGGAGCACAAATTTATTATTATTTTTCTCCTACATCATATTTTAAACTGATTTTTTTGTGTGATGCTACATGTCTTAGAGCTACACATCTCTGATTTTTTTTTACATTTTTTTGCAACTTTTTGGATGTATTTTCTGACGTTGGTAGCACGGTAGCACCCGATATTCTCTCGAGCATTGAGCAAAGCAACCAAGCAAGCGGCAGCAGAGCGCGAGTCATGCGACCCACACCGCCCAAATCCTCGGAACGCAAAGCTCCCCGCTACTACTCTACTCTCCTACTAGTCGTCTACTACTCGGCCAGGTGAGGTGCCCAACCACCGCCGTGGTAGCGAGCGCGCGACATGGCGGCGGCGGAGGTGAGGCACCGGACGGTGGAGGTGGCAAGCGGGGTGCGCCTGCACGTGGCGGAGGCGGGCCCGGAGGACGGGCCCGCCGTGCTGCTCGTCCACGGCTTCCCGGAGCTCTGGTACTCGTGGCGCCACCAGATGCGCGCCCTCGCCGCGCGGGGGTTCCGCGCCGTGGCGCCCGACCTCCGCGGCTACGGCGACTCCGACGCCCCGCCGGGCCGGGACTCCTACACCGTGCTCCACCTCGTGGGCGACCTCGTCGCGCTCATCGCCGACGTCGGCCAGCCCCGGGTGTTCGTGGCGGCGCACGACTGGGGCGCCGCCGTGGCGTGGCAACTGTGCCTGCTCCGCCCCGACCTCGTCACGGCGTTCGTCGCCCTCAGCGTCGAGTACCACCCGCGGAACCCCACGAGGAGCCCCGTACAAACCCTCAGGGCCGTGTGCGGGGACGGCCACTACATCTGCTTCTTCCAGGTGAACAGCAACCATTTAATCCCTTTTCTGAATTTTTGTACGACGCAGGCAGAACAATGAAATTATTGAGGTCCCCTAGCAATTAAGATTGATGGGTTGGGTTGCAAGTTAGTACTCGTAGTAGAAAAATCAGAGCAATTATGAAGCTATGTTCTTCTGTCCTAGCAACATTGATGGTTGTTGTTCCACGCAACTTAAAAGTGGTGAACAGCTGCTGTCTGCTGGAACGATTTTACAATCTTTGTTAGGACAATTAGGCGAGTGTTTGTCGGTGACGCTTGTGCGCAGCGGCCTTCCGGGGATGACCACTACATCGCTGTCTGCAGCGGCCTTCCCCCAATGCTTCCCTTCTGGAGCAGCGGCCTTCCACGAGCGGCTCTGCTCCAGTCTGCTCAAGGTTCAGAGGGAGTGCTGTCGCGGGTTCGACACAGTCGTGACCCTTGGCGCTTGGTCCATTTGGAAGGAGAAGAACAGCGGCGTTTTCAACAATTGCACACAGTCCTGGCTGACGTTGTTGCAGCTATGGCGCAAGAGGACGCCCTCTGGCAGCTTGCTCATCCCTCGTCGCCCGCGCTTCCTAGATACTTCCTCCGTTTCAAGTTATAAGACTTTCTGGCATTGCCCACATTCATATATATGTTAATAAATCTAGACATATATATGTGCCAAGATTCATTAACATATATATGAATGTGGGCAATGCTAGAAAGTCTTATAACTTGAAACGGAGGTAGTAGCATTCTTGGTTGCTAGGTCGTCACGTTGTGAGCATGACTGCATGAGAGTAGGCTCAAGTCCTTGTTTTCCATTTCCTTCTTTTTTTTTCCCTTCCTTTTCTCCCCGCCCCCTCCCTCTCATCTTTGTTTGGTCATTCCTGTAAATTTTATTCCTCTTAATACAAAGGTGAGCAATCCTTTTGAGTATTTCCAAAAAAAAACCCCATTACTTGTAGTTGTAGGTGTTCTTGACTATTGAGACTTCAGAAGGGTTAGATTTGAATTCTTTGCTCAATTGAAATAGATTACAACGAATAGATTAGTTAATTACAACGAATGTTGAATGACCTCAACATCCTAGGTAGGGAAATCGGAATGTATCCCTATTGCATTGCCAAGTTACTGGGTTCTTAAGGGTCCAAAGAATTATTGCTTCGAAGTAACCATGTTGTTCTCTGAAGACTGGCCATCCTTTGAACTATGTTCTTCTCATGATCCTATTGGGTAATATGCTTGGTAGCTCTAAATTCCAATATTATGCCGAGCTTAACATAACAGTAACTCCTGCTTGGAGAGCTATAACTATTCTTTTTTTATGTGGAGCTATAAATAGTTTATTCAGAAGCATGAGAGTATAGTCGATCTTGAAGAACATTGATGACTCCTGTCTCAGATATTAATAGCCTTATCTTGACATTCTCTTTACCCTTTTGGATATTGAATACAGCAGTCCATACTGTTTATTCAGAGGGAAAGGGTATCTGGAGTTTTAATCAGCTGTTTATCCTTGATAACAATCTGTCATCCTAACATCGTTTTATATTTTGTTTGTTGGAAATAATTATGCTTACAAATTACCGAATTATGTGTGCAGAAACCTGGAGTGGCCGAAGCTGAATTTGGTAGAGGTGATATAAAGTGTCTCTTGAAGAAATTCTATGGAATGCGCAAGGCAGCACCTCTGATTATACCCCCAGGCAAGACTTTATTTGACTCAATTGATTCAGATGGTACTTGCCCTGCATGGCTGTCAGAAGAAGACATTTCCTACTATGCCGAGAAATTTGAGAAGACTGGATTTACTGGAGGATTGAACTACTACAGATGCATAGACTTGTAATTCTCTTGGTTATACAGTTCATTGTTTTATTCATCCTTCATTGCTGTTAAGTGAGGAAAGCAACATGATATTGTTTAGCATTGTACAGGGAAAGTCATTCGAAATGCTGGCTCTAACTCCACTGAAACATGTTCTTTTCAAACAACAGTAAATTTGATATATATGGCTGAACTACATTTCCATTGGTGCCGGTGTCTTCAAGAATTTAAAATGAAAGAAGGCTTTTACCTGAGCTATTTTAGTCATTTATGATGTCACCCTCAGTAGTTTTCTGTTCATGCAGGAACTGGGAGCTGACTGCACCATGGACTGGAGTTCCAATAAAAGTTCCGACAAAATTCATCGTTGGAGATCAGGACCTTACGTACAACATTCCAGGTGTAAAAGATTACATCCACAAGGGTGGTCTAAAGGCATGTGTGCCAAATCTCGAAGATGTGGTTATCATGGAGGGTGTTGCCCATTTCATCAACCAGGAGAAGCCTGATGAGGTCTCCGACCATATTTGCGGGTTCTTTAGCAAGTTCTGATATGTGCAAAATCTCTTGGAGCCTGCTTGCTAATTGTACTGTAAAAACTAGAACCATTATGCCAGTACTGATATCTTCCAAATATATTGTGAATTTCAAAATCAAGCAGTTTCTGTTCACATGGCCGATAGTGTGTCATAACCAGTTTGGATTGTGGACTAAAGGCGATGAAGATTGAAGAATGGCTCTCCTAGGCTCCTATAAAGCTATGTGATGTTATAAGTTTTTTTTTTTCGTTGGGGAAGCTAAATATTCCAGAAAATTTGAAGGAATCCTGAATTTGCTGGGATTAATTTCAACTCAAATTGAATTGTGTTATGTCCATTTAAAACTAGTAATGTATTATTTCATGTGAAATATAGCACAGAATAATAAACGTAAGACATCACCAGGGTTCCATACGCTGACCTTCTCATTTACCTCTTAGCTTATTAACTATAGTCAAAATTTAAATTTTCAGAATGTAATTTTGGAGTTGATTTTAGGTTTTTTTTCCATCGTAGTATTGATTATTAATCGTTAATTATATAGATAATATATAAAAATTTTACTCACAAATTATTTTGGTTGCATTGTTTATTCTAAAGAGCTGATATTTTCTCCACTTAGAACTATACTCTCCGTTCCAGAAAAAAATTAACTTCTGAATTTTCTAAAATCTATAAATTTAAAGCTATGCTCAGATTTATACTCCCTCTGTTTCTAAATATTTGACACCATTGACTTTTTAGCATATGTTTGACCGTTCGTCTTATTCAAAAAATTTTTGTGAAATATATAAAACTATATATATACATATAAGTATATTTAACAATGAATCAAATGACAGGAAAAGAATTAATAATTACTTAAATTTTTTGAATAAGACGAATGGTCAAACATATTTAAAAAAATCAACGGCATCAAATATTTAGAAACCGAGAGAGTAATTAAAAGTTGGTCTTTTTTTTACCGAGCGAGTAAAAAGCACTAGAAGCACAATCTGGGATGGGATTCTCGGCAGAAACTGTCACTGACATGTGGTCCCATTCTCTCCTAAGCGATTCCTGGCTGTATACTGGGGCCACGTCGAGCACCACCTACACGGGAGGAAACCGAGCGCCAGCGCCGGCAAACGGAGAATCCCGGCGGAGATGCCGAACCCCAAGCCACCGGCCGGTCGCGCCGGCGGAAACCACGACGGGGCTCTGCCTCTGGCCGGTTTCGCCCCGTACAACCAGATGCCTCCCCCAAACTGGCTGACACACCGATGCCGAGCGGCCGGCGCGCGCGGCTACAAAGGCAGAGCAGGCAGAGGACGGGCTGGATTTTCAAACGCTCGCCGCGGCGCGCGCCGATCGATCGATCGATCGAGGAGGAGCCCTCTACGAGATGGCGGCGGCGGCGGTGCGGCACCGCGAGGTGGAGGTGGCGAGCGGGGTGCGGCTGCACGTGGCGGAGTCGGGACCGGAGGGCGGGCCCGTGGCGCTGCTCGTGCACGGCTTCCCGGAGCTCTGGTACTCGTGGCGCCACCAGATGCGCGCGCTCGCCGCGCGGGGGTTCCGCGCCGTGGCGCCCGACCTCCGCGGCTACGGCGACTCCGACGCGCCGCAGGGCAGGGACTCCTACACCGTCCTCCACCTCGTCGGCGACCTCGTCGCCCTCATCGCCGACCTCGGCCGGCCCCAGGTTGGTTTACGTTTACGGTTTACCATCCTTATTAGCAGTTAGTAGCATTAGCAGCATCAGTCCCCATTGTTTGTTTGATTGCTCGAGGGTGATTTGGTTGGTGCTCTCAAGGTGTTCGTCGCGGGGCACGACTGGGGCGCCGTCGTGGCGTGGCAGCTGTGCCTGCTCCGGGCGGACCTGGTGACGGCGCATGTCAGCCTCAGCGTGGAGTACCAGCCGAGGCATCCCCGGATGAGCGTGCTCCAGGCCGTCAGGGTTCTCTGCGGGGACGATCACTACGTGTGCCGCTTCCAGGTGAGCAAGGCAGAAAGAACGCGTGCAGTTACCTGTCGAAATTCAAATTTGGACGGTCAATTCAAATTTTGGATTTGAATCATAAATTCATAATTCAAATCCTTGTGGCCACCACTGCCTGCAGTGATCTGAATTCTGAAGCATCAGCTATTGATGTTTTTGTTGGAAACGATTACGCTTATAGGAATTTTGATGCATATGCAGAAACCCGGAGTGGCTGAAGCTGAATTTGCTCGACTCGATTTAAACCATCTGTTTAAAATGGTGTTTGGAATGCGCAAACCGGCAACTATTATTCTACCCCAGGACAAGACATTCTTTGATGCAATTGATTCAGATGGTACTTGCCCTCCATGGCTATCAGAGGAAGACATTTCCTACTACGCTGACAAATTCGGCAAAACAGGGTTCACAGGAGGATTCAACTACTACAGATGCATTGACCTGTATGTCTCACTCTCATGGTTTCCCGTTCACTGCTTCGTTCATGCCGTTCATCGTCAGCCAAATGTATTGTTCTTGCAGGGATTGGGAGCTGACTGCACCATGGACTGGGGCTCTGATAAATGTTCCGATAAAATTCATCGTCGGTGACCTGGATCTCACATACAACACACCAGGTGTGAAGGATTACATTCACAAGGGTGGATTCAAAGCCAATGTGCCGAATCTGGAGGATGTGGTTGTCCTGGAGGGAGTTGGCCACTTCATCAACCAGGAGAAGCCTGATGAGGTTTCTGAACACATCTGTGAGTTCTTTAGCAAGTTTCTGATGTAAACGAAATCTGGTGGAGTCTAGTACATGTCTGTATGTCGACTACAGACATGAATTCCACGGTACTAAAAATCTCCAAATAAAATATCATGGCCACTTTTTTACAGTAAAATTTGTGTGAATTCTTTGAATCGTGATACTTCTTTAGACAACGACAGGCCCATGGTGTAACGTAGCGATGAAAACGGTCGGAAAACGTCTCAACCATTTTCATGACCATAATTTTTTTTTCAAAACGGAATCGAAAATAGTAAATCTAGAAACGAAAACGATATTGAAAATATCGGAAAACCTGAAACCAACTATACTGACGGAAACATATCGGTACCCATCGAAAGCCGATAATAAATATTGGAAACACTAAACTGTAAAATCGCACACTTAACTTTGCATAACTATACTCCGCTTTCTTGTTTGATAAAACTGAAACAGTTTAGTTGAGTTTTAGCTTCAAAAGAGATAAAGCTGAAACTATAGCCCTGCTAAACGTTCCTGTAGATGAATAGCTTTAGCTTTGTGAAATGAAAATTGCATCATTAGGCGGTTAATCAACCCCAATGCACAAGAGAAGAATTAAAAGATATTGCCGGCACGAAAGTAATTTACTAATAATAGTTTATAGACACGGGGAGTCGAAAAAAAAAAGACACGGGTCAACATACAGATATGAGAATTACGAGATCAAATCAATGAGCGCTAATACAGTACAAGAATTGATCAAACGGCATGGATGTTCAGCTTGGCGAGGCGGCGCGCGGCGAGCACGGCGTCCCTGCGCTCCCTGCGCTGGGCGACCTCCAGTTGGTGGGCCGCGTCGCAGGCCGGCGAGCAGAGCACCGAGCGGCGCATGTGTTTGGGCACCTCGCCGCCGCAGTGTACGCACGCGGTCGGTGAGCTCCTCCTCAGCACGGGCAGCAGCAGCAGCACAGCCACCACCTCGCCGTCGTCGCCCTCCTCCTCCTCGACAGCCACGGGGTCGCCCAGGACGCTCTCCATGTAAGGGAACCACGGCTCGTCGCCGGTGCAGCGGACGCAGTGGCGGCCGTCGTGGCTTCGGACGATGCGGAGGACGCAGTCGGCGGCGCAGGTGTGGTGGTGGTGGCAGAGCGCGGTGGAGAAGGCCATGAAGCAGTACATGCAGTAGGCGTCCCTGGGGTGCTCCTCGGCGAAGTCGTTGGCGTTGATGAGACCGATGACGAAGTCGGTGATGGGCAGGTCGGGGCGGCGAGGGTAGTGCGCGGGGATGACGGGCTTGCCGGTGGCGGCGTCGACACCGGCGATGGGGATGACGATGTGGGAGCCGAGCGGGACGAAGTGGTGGTCATCGCAGCAGTGGGAGCAGAAGGCGTGGACGCACCTGACGCAGTAGTGGTCTCGCCGGCACGTCTGCGACAGGTCCTCCAACTGTAGCTTGTGCTTCGCCATGGTGACGACCCCTGGATGGAGAGGCGGAGGCTGCCACTGCCACATCTCGATCTTTTTCGGTTGCACTTGCACTAATTGCTTGCGGATTGCCATAGTTCGACGCACGTACGCTTGTCTTCTGGTGACGGGTGGACAGGTGGTATATATATATGTCCACACGAGACGTACAACCGCGCCGATTCAGATTCCGATTCCGAACTCGATCAGGCCGGCCGGTCGCCTACTCGCCTCCCAATCGGATTCCGATTTCCTTTTCATTTTTTACGTGTCCCTAACATTTTTTTATTACTAGAAAAAAATGCCTGTGCGTTGCGACGAGTGAAGTTTATTTTAATCTTATTATTATTGTTATATGGTTTAGTTAATACGAAATTCAATGTGAGAGTTCGCTTGGATATATATATTTTTAGAAAATTATTAGGTGCAGTTAGTAGTCCGATCGTCTTAGTTAGCATGCGAGTTTTTTTAAACAGATTTCTTATATGATTCCTTCTGTATTATCAAAAGTGAACGATGTTAAAACCGACTTAAATACGGATATGTATTTCCAAAAGCAAACGAACTTAAAAATCGACTCATACACAGATGACGTACTAAAAATAACAGCAAAAACATTTTCAATTTTTATAATACTACAAAAGATGCCCGTGCGTTGCAACGGGTAAAGACTTTTTGTAGTGATATATTAAGAGCTAAGTAATAAATTGAAATATTGGGATTACTATACACTATAATTGAAAAAGTTAATAAAAATCTTAACATTGGGATCGCTATAGATTATAATTAAAAAAAGTTAATGAAAATATTTCCTGGGTTTTCGGCCGAAAGCATTCCTTCTTTTTCAGCCCTAGGCTAGTCCGCTCCTCCCTCCATTTATAGATAGCTGACTGGGCCGCCTGGCACGTCATGACCCAAGCCCGGCCGTGCCTGGGCCAAGGCTAGTCAGGCCGGCACGGCCCGACCGACACGGTGGGCCATGCCGTGCCAGTCCACAGTCGGCGGGCCATGCCGTGCCAGTCCACGAGTGGCATACACGGCCCATGCACGGTGTTGATGCGAAAAACATACACTGGCCTGGAAGATCTGCTTAACTTCCGTGCAGGTCCAAAACCTTGCTTTTAGGTTCGTGAGCGTGCCAGTTGATTTGATCCTACAATCAACAAGAAAAAAAGACAAGAAAAATCACGGTTAAATCCATAAAAGATAGCCAATCGGCTAGCTGCCGATGACATATCATTTATCTTTGAGCCGATGTCATATTGGGATCGATCAGCAGTCATAAGTAAATAAGATAAGACTAAATCTACTCGATCTGTTGTAGATATTAACTGTTGTAGATATTAACGATATATAATCCTTCTGTTGATGTATATTTAAACCAATTGATTGGGATAGATCGGTCGTCATGCCGAGACAGTATAAATCACTTAGATCGAAGTATACATTAACACAAAGATTATAAACGTTTATAGCATAGCCGATCAGATAGATCTAGCATGTATCGGCTAATACTCCGATACCACTCTATATTACAGATAGAATATATCAAACAAGAAGCCTAATATATTTTAATGCAATAAGATCTTAATATAAAGGGCGGATTTAGCATATCAATCAAGCATATAGGACGTAAAGTAGCTAAATCAGGTAAGATCAGCTGAAACCCCGATGCTATCTCTCTCTCAATGATCATAAAGCAAGCCAGATGTTACAATTATAGATATTACTTAATAGATCGAACTCAACCGATGAGCATCAAGCATAAAGATAAGTATAAGATCTAGGCAAGATGATAAAAACTATAAGAGATGATAAATACATGATATAATCTAGATTAATAGCAAAACATAACACTATCGGTCACTTCCTAACGATAAGAACCAGCCGATAACAAGTTATATAGTGCAACTAACAAAGATTACAATGTGTATATGATAACTCGACGAATTACTTAAACAAGATTAGAGTGTCGTAAAGATGGAAGCACTAATCCCGATAACGCAAGCTGCCATGACAAGCTTACCTCTAGTTAAAGATCGAATCGATGCAGCTCAACCCGAAAGCAAGAACTCGTCGAAATAGAACAAAAAAAAAGGGTGGCGATGCGCCGATATTATATTGAACTGTTGTTAATTGATTACATGGGTTCGGATTCTATTTATACCCGAAATACAAAATATGTCCTTGCCGGACACGACCCCTATCTCTAACAAACTCTAAGATATCATAAGTCTTTGCGACAGACTTTTGCCCAAACTTATCTCTAAGAAAATTACACGAGACATCCTAATTAATAGATACAATTGCCTATCTGATAGCTTTATCTCTATCGTGGCAATCCTCATGAAGCATATTGATCGATTCTAGAAACAGCTCTGAAACCATCGTCATTGGAATCGGCTGCATCACCTCTATCGGCTGTCCTCTGTCCGATCCATATCAGCCGATGCAGATTCCAGCCGATGCATACTCTGTTCTTCGAATTCATCTCTTTGCTGAATCCGCCTCGATCCCAACATCAAACCTGGTTCATATCTTACTAAATTTGGTCGTAAACACACGGCCCAATACTACTCGGGCCGTGCCGGGCCGGCCCGAAGGCACGATGGTCCATCGTGCTTCTCCACATAAAAAGTCTATTTTTCATCCCTCAACTCTGTGGCTGTGTTCAAATGGCTGGAAAATAAGTCTATTTTGTATTCCTCTTTTCTTTGGGTTGCCTTATATGGTTATATAAGTCTATTTTGCGTCCCTATATTTTTTTATTTGATCGGGCCATGCCGGGCCGACCCATCGTGTCGAGGATGTAGCCCAGGCATGGCCCGGCTGTCGGGCCGGGCCAGCACGGGCACGACCCAGTCGGGCTGTGCCGTGCTTGGGTCGGGCTGTGGGCCTCGGGCCATATGGCCATCTATACCTCCATTTGGTTTGCTTCTCTTCGACCCTACCATCTTCAACTTTCCAAATATGACTATCATCTTCAACCTCCCGAAGATAATCTCGTGCCCGTGCCCGTACGTTTGCCGGAGCAAATATCCCCATCAAATCCAGCCGAATCTTTCTCGGTTAGCCAAAATTGGTCGAGGGTTTTTGATCGATATCCCCTCGATGTACTCTTTCCGTTTTCCCCAAAATCAGAGCGTAAAACTCGAGATAAAAATGACCGGGGAAGATTGCCGTCATCATTAGCAACTGTAAAGCAGATATTAAATCCGGCAATTAAAGACGAATCGAAGGGAAAATCATGGAGAAAATGATGAGAGAGGAGTGGGGAATCGGTTTTTGCAATCAAATTGGAGGAGAAATCACATGATCGATATGGCGGCGGCACGGCGCTAGGGTTCACCTTGGAAGGCATGCGGCGAACAGATGGGATTATAAACCGGATGAGAAAAAGAAAAAGCGCACGGAAGAAAAAACTGGCGACAAAAAAGATTGACGAAAAAAACTAAATGCGCCCAGGAGGCGCGCAGTGGACAGATCAGATTAATAAAACGGGACAAAAAAAAAACCTAAAGCCTTAGCATGTGCGCATAAAAAACTCTTTTGCGTGCAAAGAACAACAGAAAAAATACTGGTGCCAAAAAAACAACGGACTTTTTTTTACTGGGAGATTTTTTTTCCTTTTTCTACATGAGTCGGACAAGAGATGATTTTTTTCTTTTTTTTTTACTGACGACGACGGAA